ACATCGTCAGAGTATTAAACTACCATTACAGAGATCTCTGCCTTTATATGCCATTAATCAATTTGGCATTGCACATGTAATAGGCTCTTCCAGCCGTCTCCCACTTGTAATCAGCTGTGTTGTTTTTGCTGTCACAATGCTGATGTCAGCATTGCAACGCTGGCATAGAGAGAGCAGAGGACAGCGAAAGATAAACTCTGAAACTTTTGCCTGCAAAATCCCTTTGAAGCTTGGTTGTCGTGGAGATAGGGGAGGGGGCACATTCCTGAGAAATGACAGGGAAAAGAAGTCTGAAGAATGACTTGGAAGACAGCCAGTGAGAAGCAGAGACTTGGGGGTCGGAAAGGGAGGGATTGGGAGGCAAAAGGTCAGTCTTGTCCGCGCGGAGTCATGATCCGGTGGCTGAGCTCAATTAAAGAAAGATTTCCTTAAAGATTGGCGGTTTGGAGATTCATTTAATTTTGAGACAGTACCGCAGTCTGACAGCTGGATGATGGAGGCTTGATTCCTGCTGTTTCCTTCCTCCCTATATATATTATTTCCCTTCCCTCTGCCAGGATCAGCCTGGAAAAACAAAATGTGAAACGGGACTTAAACGTCTTATTGTGTTGCCTGCCAAATCCACTTCGGTAATCCAACGCAACAGGCTTAATTACTCAGAGAAATTTCAAGCATGTTGAAATTCCAAAAAAAAGTCTGCCAAGCTTAGTCAGATATTAATCAGAAAGAATGTGAACTGTGAGCTGGCAAAGTCCTGGTTAGCTCATTGTAGTTCTGAACTCTGTAGCTGAGGGACATTTTCCCAGGGAGATGTCCCATAAGTAACTGGGCTTTAGCCTTCTCTTCCAGAGAAGATCTTTTGCGAAAACAACCAAGGTCACTGTTACCCAAACATTAAACAAATGCCTTCCAACATTCACAGCTGTGCTTCCTATTTAGAATAGTCTTCCCAGGTCCCAGCCCACATTCCCCAGACATGCATCAAAGCAATGAAATACATGTTTACGCTGAAATGCTTTCTTTCCCTAGCATCAGAGTGAAGCGCTTAAGGAAGCTTCTTGCCCAGATGTGAAATTTTGAGCCTGGGCATATTTGCACAAAGAGTTTTTATTTTTTTAAAAAAAATATTTATTAAATTTCCAAAGATTAAAATACATGGTACAAAAAGAAACATAATACACAAAAAAGCAAGAAACACACACAAACACACAAAATATAAACAACCAAAAACAAACATATCAACATTTCAATACTAATAACAACTTTTCTGCATCGGTATCTCTAGCCAATTTAACCTCTTTACACAAATTCTACTTCTAAATAGCTCTATCTTAAACTTACATCTTTATCTAAATTAGCTTGACTTCTATTTACAATTCGATCTCGTAACAAAAACATCCCTTAAGTTTTATGTTTACTCTCCAACTGGGAATACCATTTATTCCATATTAAATAGTACTTGGTGTCCTTCCTCTCCTTCATTTCCATAGATAATCTGTCCATCTCTGCACATTCGTATATTTTTTTTTAATTATGATTTGATCTGGAGGGGTGTCTGATTGTTTCCCATTTTGTGCTATCACAATTCTACTTGCCGTTAGTATGTGTAATATGATATATTGGATACTTTTCTGCATTTCCCCTTCCAGAATACTCCTGGAGTTTTTAAAGCTGCTAGGTTTAAAAAGAGACTGCCCCTGTTTTTCTTGGAAGCAGAAAATGACTTTGTGGAGCATTTCCTCAAGAAATGTAATCCTTCAGGGTATCACTTTCAACACATGTTTCAGATGCTACAATCCTAGAGGACTGACAAAAGATCTAGAGAGGTGGCACCTACCACCCGCGAGACTAGCAAAAACATTTAAAAATATGTCCACCAAATGTTGGAAACGTAATAAAAAAAACTGGGCACATACCACCACCTGTGGTGGACGTGTCCAAAAGCAAAAAAAAAAAAAGTGATGGTAGGTGAAAATGCATATGTGATTAGAAAAAATGTTAAGATAGCATATAGATTTTAAGCCAGAACTATTTTTGTTAGGTGTAATACCAGACAAATATGATTAAAGGGAATGTATATTTGATATTACGGGTTTTAACAGCAGCAAGGATTGTATTCGCGTAACATTGGAAAAGAGAGGAAATACCTACAGAAGAAGATATAATTAAAAAAAATATTGGACTGTGCAAAAATGGACAGACTAACACTGAAGATAAAAGAAAAAGAAGACACAGAATATTTTCAAACTTGGGACTTGTTTTATCAGTGGTTGGACAACGGAGGTAGAAATTAGGAATTTAAGATGTAAACAAATCGATCCAGACAGTAAACTGCTCTTTAAGCACATATTGTATGTAAAGAGAAAACCAATAAAAAATATATTAAAAAAAAAAAAGATCTAGCGAGGTAAAAACTACCCTGAAATTTGATTCCTGAGATAGAAGACAACATCTAATTAAAACATCTCAGAATTTCTGGGAATTGAAGTTCACTCATCTTGAGGTTGTGGAGTTTGAGAAACACTGGGATAATCTACAATCTTGGTATTTTGGGTAGCCATCCATCCGTGTATCCAGCAGGACAAATTATGTCTGGTTTTCTTGAAATCAGCCAAGGTTGCTGACTTTTAGGATATGTTTGGTTTTCTCGAGAACAGCAAGTAATCACCCTTCGGTTTCTTCAGTTGCTGAAACCATGTGTGATTGTGCTTATCATGAACATTGTGTAGTTATCCTGAACGTTGCCAGAGATTTTATCCCCCAACTTGTTTAGCAAGCCATTTAATATTCTGATAACCAGACTGTTACTCACTGTACCGTAAAGGAGCTATGATCAAGATGCATATTAATGATTCATGCAGAACAACCGTCTTCCCCCTTTCCCCCCACACAAGGGAGATTGTTGTTTCCCAGATAAATCCCCCTGACATACAAAATTGTCTCTTGCACACAAAGGCCTCTGCATTAGCTAATACTTCAAGAAATCAGGTAATAACCAGTTGGATTTTGAGGTTGGTTGGGAACTCAACTTTACAATGGGTTCGACAGATTTTCCAGACAATTTTCGGGGAACCGAACAGAAAAAGATGGGAACATTTAATCATATGTGGTGGACTTGTGCTAAAACAAAAACAAACAAACAGAAATTGGGCAAAAATAGATAGATGGCTAGAAAAGATAATAGGGAAAAATGTACCGTATTTTTTGGACTATAAGATGCACCTAAATTTAGAAGAGGAAAACAACAACAAAAAAGTTTGTGGCCTCCGCGCACCCCATTTTTGGCCCTTTTTTTGGCCCTTTTTTTGGATCCTTTTCCAGCCTTTTTTCAGCCCATTTTTGAGGCTTTCTTCGGCCCATTTTCAAGGCTTTTTGCCCCATTTTTGAGGCTTTTTTGGGGTCATTTTCGAAGCTTTTTTCAGCCCATTTTTGAGGCTTTCTTCTGCCAGTTTTTGGGGCTTTTCCTGCTCATTTTTGAGGCTTTTTTTCTGCCCATTTTTGAGGCTTTTTTCACTCCATTTTTCAGAAAAAATTGGGCCAAAAAAACCCTCAAAAAAAACCTGAAAAAAGACCTGAAAATGGGCCCAAAAAAGGCCCCAAAACAGGGTGTGCGGAGGCCAAAAAAAAAATGGCTGGTGGGTGGGCGGGGCTTCAGAAATATTTGGCCTATAAGATGCACAGACATTTTCACCCTGTTTTGGGAGACAAAAAGTGTGTTTTATAGTCTGAAAAATACGGTAGATTTTAAACCTGAACTGTTTTTATTAGGGATAATATCAGAAAAATTTGATGAGAGAAGTATGTATTGTATATTTCAGAGTATAAGACGCACCAGAGTATAAGACACAGCTTAGTTTTTGGGGAGGAAAATAGGAAAACAAATTCTGCCTACCAGGTATTCCTCTGGCTAGCGTCCTTAGTCTGGTCAGCTTCAGCACATTAATTTGCTGGTTTTTTTATCCCCTGCTTGGGGATAAAAAAAAACAGCTTCTAAAGCACAACTGATCTTTGGAGAGAGAAGCAATGAGAAAAGCAGGCCAACCACGGAGATCGCTTCACTAGCTAGCGCCTCCTTAGGGCTGAAAAAAAGCTTCACAGCTGAGAGTCGGAGGGAGCAGGCAAAGCACGGAAGATCGCTTCACTGAAAAAAAGCTTCTAAAGCACAGCTGAGAGTTGGAGGGAGCAGGCAAAGCAGGAGATAGCAACTCATTAGGGCTGAAAAAAACTTCAAAAAAGCTACATTTTGAGTATAAAATGCACTCAAATTTTCAGCCTTTTTTAGGAGGGAAAAAAGTGCGTCTTACACGCCGCAAAATACGGTTTTTAGTATTACATGGCATAACCCAGACCTCTGGACTTTTCGTCGGGCCCTTAAAACCTACCTCTTTCAGTTAGCCGGGATGTCCTGATTTTATGATGGGGTTTTTAAAATTTGAAATTGGTTTTAAATTGAAATGTTTTAATTATGGGCCAAATTATTTAATTATTTTAAATCTATTTTAACTTTTGTATATAAAGTGTTTTACTTGGCTGTTCACCGCCCTGAGTCCGAAAGGAGAAGGGCAGTATAGAAATTTGAAAAATAAACAAACAAACAAACAAACAAACAAACAAATAAATAAATAAATAAATAAATAAATAAATAACAGCAGTGAGGATTACCTTCGCACAATATTGGAAAGAGGAAGAAACACCTCAAGATGAGCAGATAATTAAGAAGATATCCGACTGTGCAGGAATGGGCAGACAGAAGACACAGATTATTATCAAACTTGGAGTTAATTTTACCAGTGGTTTGGGAAAAAGGAATGGAGATTAAGAATGGAACCTGTATTGTTAAGCAAATTAAATACCCAGGCAACGCGATGTTTATTAAGCACTAAGGAATGTAATTCATAGAAAATTAATACAATGGATGAAAAAAAAAAGAAAGAAAGAGAGAATATATTTCTGAAGGTGAGGATTCACGGAAAGCCGTTCCTTTTGTTTAGCAAAGTTGGGAGAGCGTAGTTCTGCTAGACGTGATAAACTAATTCCCCACCTCTGAAACTCCCTGCCAACCACTCCCCAGAAGTTAATATTTCCTAAAGCTTCCATAAAAACAAGCAGAGTCAATTTGCTCCAAGTCCAGAGAGCTCTGGATTCTGAATGTGACGGCTTCCCTCTGGTTCTATGAAGAAATTGCAAGCCACCAGACGGTGTCACCGGAAAACAGATCTTTGCTTAAGAAAAACCTCGGACGAAGGTAGGAAGATATTTACTGCTAGAAACGAAGCTCAGCGTTCTTAGAGGTGATTTGAACGATTATTTGGGGGTTTTTTTCCCCCCTTCCAGCTTGAAAATATCGTTTGAACAGAACAGGAAGGCATTCAAGCCACTTCAGAAGTTTGTGTTATTGACTTTCGTAGCGAATTTCCCTACACGCTTGTTACTCAAACGGGCTGTTTTGGGAGGAAAGTTGCCAAAAAGAGATCAAGAAAAGAACAGATCTGACATATTTTTTTTTCTATTTGCCATCTGTTTTTAAGAGTTTTTGGGTTGATCGTGAGGATGGGAACTTTGATTTTGGAGAGGAACTGAAATGTTTAGTAACCCAGTGAAGTTCAGAAGACTGATCCACAAATGAAAACATTCATATTTTCTAAAACCATCTAGAAATATACCGTGTTTCCCCGAAAATAAGACCGGGTCTTATATTAATTTTTGCTCCAAAAGTTGCATTAGGGCTTATTTTCTGGTTATGCAAAAAATGCATTAGGGCTTATTTTCTGGTTAGGTCTTATTTTGGGGGAAAGACGGTACTAAATGCATCCATCTGACTGACAATCTTAACTAGGGCTTATTTTGGGGGTAGGGCTTATATTACGAGCATCCTGAAAAATCATGCTAGGGCTTATTTTCCAGTTAGGTCCTATTTTTGGGGAAATATCCAAGTAGTCCTCAAGTTATGACCACACCTGAGCCTCAAATTTATGTTGCTTAAGTGAAACATTTGTTAGGTGAGTTTTGCCCCATTTTATAACCTTTCTTGCAAATGTTGTTAAATGAATCACTGCAGTTGTTAAGTAAGTAACCCGGTCATTAAGTGAATCTGGCTTCCCCGTTGACTTTGTTTGTCAGGAGGTCTGAAAAGGGGATCATGTGACACCCCCCCAACTGCCAACTGCCAAGTGTCTGAATTTTGATCACGTGATTATGGGGACGCTGCAGAGGTCGTAGCTGTGAAAAACGGTCATCGGTCACATTTTTCCAGCACCGTTCTGTCAACGGTTGTAAGTCGAGGACTCTCTGTATATAAAGACAAAGTGGATGTATATGTATAAGGGGTTTTGGGGGGGGAAGGACGTTGGAGAAATTTAATGAGTGGGGGGAATCCTCCAACCAGTGTTTAAGGCTGCAAAAATTTGTGTTTATATACATTGGAATATGGCCAGGGGTGGGCTTGCTAAAAATTTTAGCAAGGGGTTCTCTGCCTGGTTGTTGGATGGGCGTGGCCATGGTGGGTGTGGCCTAATTGGCCTTCTGCACCACAGGGGGGGGTGTTTTTGCCCTCCCCAGGCTCTGGAGGCTTTCCTTGAGCTTCCAGGAGGGCGAAAACGGCCTCCCCAGGCTCCAGAGGCCCTCTGGAGGCCAAAAATGGGCCCATTTCTGGCCTTCCTGATCTTGGTAGGCCCTGCATTTACCTGCATCCAAAACGGGCCGCATGGGGATTCCTGGGAGGGGAGGGATGGGGTGGGCGGGGCCAGCCAGGAGTGGGATTTGGGGGTTCTCCGAACTGCACAGAATCTTAGCTAGAGGTTCTGCCGAACCCCTGCGAACCCCCAGCAGCCCTCCCCTGGATACGTCTTGAAGCTTAACACCTCAAAAACCAAGATCACGGTCGTCAACAAACAACCCATTAATTTACCACCGATCAATTCGGAAGGAATACCGCTAGAAGTCGTTGAAAGGATCACGTACCTCGGTTCTAATTTCCATGAAAGCTGGGACATGACCACTGAAGTAAAAACAAGGACAGAGAAAGTTCGAACAGCATTCTTCAAAATGGAAAAAGGTCTTCTGCGGTCACGACATAAGCCTTGTCCGATGCTACATCTTTCCTATCCTGCTCTACGGAAGGGAGAGTTGGTCTTGGACAGAAACCACTTGAAGGGACTAGAAGCATTTGAAATGTGGATTTACAGGCGGCTGTTAGGTACAAGCTGGGTTGGCAAAAGCAGAAGTGAGGAGGTGATAAGCCGCAGGAAAGCCAAGGGAAATCATCAAAACCAGTGATGAAATCTACTACTGGTTTTGTGGGCGTGGCTTGGTGTGTGGGGGGGTAATGTGGCTGGGTGGGCATGGCCAATTTTTTAAAAAAACTTTTAAAACCATTTTTTCTACAACCTCAAAAGCCTCTGACGATCCCAGCTGAGTTGCCTGATCGGCAGAGGCTTTTTTTCTTTTAAATGCCTCTGCCTATCAGGCAACTCAGCTGGGATCGTCAGAGGCTTTTAAAAGCTTTTTTTTTTTTTTTTACAACCTCTTCGGCCGAGGAGGTTGTAGAATAAATGTTTTTAAAAGAAAAAAAGCCTCTGCCGATCAGGCAACTCAGCTGGGATTGTCAGAGGCTTTTAAAAGCATTTTTTCTACAACCTCTTTGGCCGAAGAAGTTGTAGAAAAAAATGCCTTTAAAAGCCTCTGATGATCCCAGCTGAGCCACATGATCATCAGAGGCTTTTTTTTTTTACTTTTAAAAGCATTTTTTCTGCCAAAGAAGTTGTAGAAAAAATGCTTTTAAAAGTAAAAAAATAAGCCTCTGATGATCGGGCAGCTCAGATGGGAATGATGTGGGGGGGGGCAGGGATTTTTGCTACTGGTTCTCCGAACCACCCGCTGCCATTGCTACCGGATCGGGCGAACCGGTCCGAACCGGGAGCATTTCACCCCTGATCAAAACCATTAAAAAGCGAAAGTTAAGAATGTTTTGGACAAGTGATGCGACACCCGGAAAAATACAGCATCCTTCACGTTATCCTCCAAGGAAAGATGGAAGGCAAACGAGGTCCAGGCAGAAGGAGAACATTGTGGCTTCAAAATCTAAGGGACCAGTTTGGACAAAACTCAGCAGTGCTTTTTCGTGCGGCTGTTGATAAAAATAGGATGGCCAACATGATTGCCAAAGTCCGATATGGATAGGCACAACAAGAAGAAGAAGAATACATTGGGATGCCTGTTAGAAAGATAGAAGTTTAGAAGATTAAGAAAAAAGCATCCATCTCCCAAGATCAAATTTCATTAATTTTCTAAATACAATTCCCTCCCCAACCGATGAGATAATAACAACGATCCCTTCAAACGCTCAAGATTATTCTTAAAAAGTGACTCCTGGGCCCCGTATCATTCGGTTGCTTTGCTAGCCCACCGCTTCTCTCTTAATCTCTCCGTAAATCATGTTTTTTTAAACAAAAAAAAAAGTTTAGTACTTTGAAGGGAAAAGAGTAAGATCAAATCCTAGCCCCGTAAGATCAAAGAAATATAATGAACTTTGTAAATAAAACTGGTGACAGCTCACACAGATTACTAGGCGCAAATAGAAATACCCATTATTTCCATCGCAAGGAAGGAAACGCAGGAATGGCTAAATCGGTTGTTTTATTCAAAGAGGAAAATACGTTTTTTATTTGGCCGTCACTTCTGGAATTTGTGGAAAAAAAGAAACGTTGACTTTGGTTTTGCTGATTAGAAAGATTTGGTGTTATAGGAATGGCTAGTTATAATATATTAATGTGTAAAAGCAAAAAATTGAGGTTGGAAATGTGTTCATCTTGTACTGTGCTACAAAAAGAGTTGGAAGTCAATGCCCCCTTTTCTTTCTTTTTCTAGATTAGATTAGATTAGATTAGATTAGATTAGATTAGATTAGATTAGATTAGATTAGATTAACAGAATTGGATAATACCTTATAGGTCATCTAGTCCAACCCCCTGCCCAAGCAGGAGACCTTACACCAATTCTGACAGATGGCAGCCCAGTCTCTTCTTGAAAGCTTCCAGTGATGAAGCTCCCACAACTTCTGAAGGCAACTTTTGTTCCATGGGTTGATTGTTCTCACTGTCAGGAAATTCCTCCTTATTTCCAGGTTGAATCTCTCCTTGGTCAATTTCCATCCATTATTCCTTGTCTGGCCTTCAGGTGCTTTGGAAAATAGCTTGACCCCCTTCCTCCTCTCTGGGGCAGCCCCTCAAATATTGGAAGACTGCTATCATGTCTGGTCCTTCTCTTCACTAGACTAGCCATGCCCAGTTCCTGCAACTGTTCTTCGTATGTTCATTTATTTTATTTATTTATTTATTGAATTTCTATACCGCCCTTCTCCCGAAGGACTCAGGGTGGTGAACAGATTAAGATTTCATATACATATAATAATTTATTATCATTATTTTTTATAAACAGTAAATAATAAATTGAGTCAACTTGGTGTATCTGCTGAGACCTTGGCATAGAATTTAGATGTTTATGCTAGCCCTGCTTGTTGAAAGAGAAAGGTCTCCAGGGCACGTCGGAAAGTGCGAAGATCTGGGATTATTCGTATTCCAGGGGGTATTTTGTTCCAAAGAGTAGGTGCCCCCACAGAGAAGGCTCTCTCCCTTGGAACTACTAGACGACATTGTTTTAATGATGGTACTATGAGTAGGCCTACTCTGTGAGAGCGTATTGGTTGGTGGGAGGCTATCGGTTGCAGCAGCTGGTCTCGTAAGTACTCAGGTCCTAAGCCATGGAGCACTTTAAAGGTAAGAACCAACACCTTGAAGCGCACTCGGAAGGCCACCGGAAGCCAGTGCAGCTCGCGTAGAAGAGGTGTTACATGTGAGCGCCATGTTGCTCCCATAATTACTCGCGCGGCCGCATTCTGGACCAGTTGGAGCTTCCGGGTGCACTTCAAGGGGAGCCCCATGTAGAGAGCATTGCAGTAGTCAAGTCGGGAATTGTTTTATCCTCCAATCCCCTCATCATCCTGGTTGCTCTTCTCTGCACTCTTTCCAGAGTCTCAACGTCTTTTTTATAGCGTGGTAACCAAAACTGGATTTCTTTCCCTTTGTATCTCACACCCCCTTTTCCCCTCTCCCTTTCCTCCCCTTAATTTCCTATTTTTTCCTTCTTCTCTCCTTTTGTATCATAAAATCAAAACTTAATAAAGTTAATCTCTCCGTAGGTTGCTCCAGGATCCGACTTGGTCCAACCATGATCTTCCTGCTGCTTCTCACGCCCAGCTTGGTCCTTTGCGACGCCAATGCCACCGTCGCCTGGGAAGAGGCACCGTCTACCACCAGCCCCATGGTAGACATGCAGAAGAAAATCAACGATCTGTGGTTGAGTTTGCTGTACCCGCAACTCTACGACGATATCCTCAAAGCCAACCGGACAGCTTACGCTTGCTGTGTTGCCCAACCCAGTAGCAAGTTAGAGGAGGGTAAACCACGAGTGACGGGCCTGGTTTTGTTCAAGCAGTTGTACCCCCATGGAAAGCTGGCGGCCCTTTTCAACTTGACGGGCTTTCCCACGGAAGCGAACACCTCGGCGAGGGCCATCCACATTCATCAATACGGCGACCTGAGCGATGGCTGCGATTCTGCTGGAGGGCACTATAACCCTTGGAAAGTCAACCACCCCCATCATCCTGGGGATTTTGGGAACTTTAACCCTAACGGGGGCAACGTTCAGAAATTGAAATCGAACCTCAAAGCTACCCTCTTGGACCCCAGACCATTCTCGGCCGGTCGGTGGTGATCCACGAGAAGGAGGATGACCTGGGAAAGGGCAAGAACGAAGCTAGTTTGGCTCATGGGAATTCTGGCCCACGCCTGGCGTGTTGCGTCATCGGCACGTGTAAGCAGGAGCTGTGGGACAAGCTCTTCCCCAAGGTTCCAGCCAAAAGGAAGAAAAGGGTGACAAAAGCCGGCTTGGCTTGAGGGTTGGCTGACATCCCGAATGGCCGATCGACTGAGTTTGGATCCGTTAAGCGGGTTGCAACGGAAGTTTCCCTTCTGTAAATGTTAAAATAGGCTTTAGTGAATTCTTCTCTCTAGAAGCAGATCAATAATAAAGAAAAACAGGACCAGCCTTTCAAAGTTGATGTTCATGCTTTATCTACCTACCTACCTACCTACCTACCTACCTACCTACCTACCTACTTCTCTCTCTCTCCATCTACTTATCTATCATTCATCTATCTATATCTACCCACCTACCTACTTTTCTCTCTCTCTCTTTCTCTATCTACCTACACTCCTCTCTCTCTCTCTCTCTCTCTCTGCCTGCCTGCCTACCTACTTATCTCTCTCTGTGTGTCTCTCCTTCTCTCTCTCATCTATCCCATCCATCATCTCTCTGTCTGTCTATCTCTCTATCTCTATCTCTACCTACCTACCTACTTATCTCTCTCTCTCTGATCTATCCCATCCATCCATCCATCCATCATATGTCTGTCTGTGTGTCTGTCTATCTCTCTATCTATCTCTCTATCTCTATCTACCTACGTACCTACCTATCTCTCTCTCATCTATCTCATCCATCCCTCATCTGTCTGTCTGTCCATCCATCCATCATCTATCTATCTATCTATCTATCTATCTATCTATCTATCTATCATCTATCTATCTATCTATCTATCTATCTATCTATCTATCTATCTATCTATCTCTATCTCCCTAGCTACTTATCTATCTCTCTCTGATCTATCTATCCCATCCATCATCTGTCTGTCTGTCTGCCTGTCTGTCAACCAGTGGTGGGTTGCCCCCTGTTCAGGCTCCGCCCACCATCCCGGATGTCGTCATCGGCGATCTGTGCATGTGTGATCCCATTGCGAACCGGTAGTAAAGGTAAGTAGAACTCACCCCTGCTACCTACCTACCTACCTACCTACCTATCTATCATCTATCTATCTATCTATCTATCTATCTATCTATCTATCTATCTATCTATCTATCTGTCTATCTATCTATCATCTATCATCTATCTATCTATCATCTATCTATCATCTATCTATCTATCTATCTATCTATCTATCTATCTATCTATCTATCATCTAACTCCAAGAGTTAGTTTTTAGGTGTTAAAAAAAAACACATTTTGACATAGGAACTTTATCCAATCCTGTTCTATCTCTTGAAAACATCTCCAAGAGTAACAGCCACCATCGCCATCACAAAATCTGGAAGAAGAAGAAGAAGAAGAAGAAGAAGAAGAAGAAGAAGAAGAAGAAGAAGAAGAAGAAGAAGAAGAAGAAGAAGAAAAGGGGAAAGAAGAAAAAAAAAGAACACAAGTTTTTGATTCAGGTGATGGGCTCTGTTTCCCTGCCTGCCTAAAAATGCATTAAATAGGTTTTTTTCTCTCCTATAGTCTTTTCCCTTTTGAGAAAGGTGGCTGGGCGAGAGTGATAAGGGCTTTTGCCAAATTGTGTCGGAGTTTCTACACGGTTTGTATTTTAAACCTTCAGATCTATTCTTTCATCCTGCTTAGAGATGGGTTAGTTTGGCTTCTTTCCTCTTTTTTAATCTTCTTTATTTGTTTGACTTACGATCCACAATCCTCACAGACTTTTACAAGCATAATATTGAATTTTAGTAGGGTGTCTATATATATATATATATATCCCCAATAAAGCTATTTGGAAATATTTGCAAGATGGAACTCATCCAGTTAAATTAGGCAATGCTAATTACACCACAGAAATAAATACTTTTCTCTTTTTCCTACGTTGCTCCAAAAGTATTCAAGTACACAGTGTTACAGCTAGGAACAAATGGCATTTTTCATTTCAAAGTTGCTTTGTTTTGTTTTTTTCCCGTTCTCCACTACGCAAGTTTCGGAAAAGCTAACTCACTAGGTCAGTGGCTATCCATTTAAGCCGACGGATTTGGCTCCATTAGAAAATGAACTTGGAGTTGTGCCAGCAACAATGCAAATAAGTGGGAATATTTGGGAAATGAAGTTTGGCAGGAATTATGTCTGTGTTTATTTGCTTTAAAAAGGAACGGGAACCAGTTGTTCGGAAGGGATGAACTCAGTGGTGAAATACAATTTTTTTTTACTACCGGTTTTGTGGGCGTGGCTTGGTGGGCGTGGCAGGGGAAGGATACTGCAAAATCTCTATTCCCACCCCACTCCAGGGGAAAGGATATTGCAGAATCTCCATTCCCTCTCCACTCCAGGGGAAGGATACTGCAAAATCTCCATTCCCACCCCACTCCAGGGGGAAGGATACTGCAAAATCTCCATTCCCACTCCACTCAAGGGGAAGAATACTGCAAAATCTCTATTTCCTCCCCACTCCAGGGGAAGGATACTGCAAAATCTCTATTTCCTCCCCACTCCAGGGGAAGGATACTGCAAAATCTCCATTCTCTCTCCACTCCAGGGAAAGGATACTGCAAAATCTTCATTCCCACCCCACTCCAGGGAAGGATATTGCAAAACCTCCATTCCCTCCCCACTCCGGGGGAAGGATACTGCAAAATGTCCATTCCCTCTCCACTCCAGAGGAAGGATACTGCAAAATCTTCATTCCCACCCCACTCCTGGGGGAAGGATATTGCAAAATCCCCATTCTCTTCCTGGGGGAAGGATATTGCAAAGTCTCTATTCCCTCCCCACTCTGGGGCCAGCCAGAGGTGGTATTTGCTGGTTCTCCAAACTACTCAAAATTTCCGCTACCGGTTCTCCAGAACCTGCTGGATTTCACCCCTGATGTGCTCCTTGGTCAAGAGGAAACAGGAGTCTGGGTCTCCCCAGTTATCACTCTGGTAATTTATTCGCTCTTGGGAGAAAAAACTCCAGAAAATGTTTCTGAAGAAGAAATTAAAACTTGACGGGAAATCTGAGTGTTTGAAAAGTCCCCAAAACATGAAATAAAAATTAAAACCTTAAACGTGCCACCTACGGTGTGATTCAAAGGCCCCCCCAGAGAGAGATCATCCAAGCAATTTAAAGAGAGTCTGTCCCACAATTATTCTTTTTCTCTCTCTCTCTCTCTTTTTAAACACACAACAAGACCAGCCACAGAGTTTTCTCCACCGATAACCATCATGTCATCGGCAGAATGCTCATAAACTGTCATTTGAACAAACACCCCAGAAGGCAACATGAATGTTCAAAAGATTAGCAAACACAAAGAAATCCCTTTTTTGGGGGGTTTTTCCTGATGTTCTCGACTTGTGAGGGCCTCACTGTTGTTCTGCCTCCTAAGGCGCACACCGTTTGTGTGTCTCTGCCAAGAAACGCACTACAGTCGATGAAATCTCTGAAGCATCTGGACAGAAACAGGCAACTTTAACCCCAACTGTTCTCTCCGTAGGAAATAGCAGCCATTTTTGACTCGGCGGGATCCAGCCAAGGAATGGAGCTAAACATTTAACTCTGGTGTTTCATCTTTTTCCCTACCAACCCTCTTCAGGGAAGGTTAAGATGAGTCCTCTTCCAAAGCATCTCGGATTGCACCTCATGTTCTCCCTTCCCAAAAATACCACGGGGTTGATTTTAGAACAGAGTTATCTTTCTTGGTTAGGGGACGTGGTGGCTGGATAGCTCAGCAGACTAAAAGCATTGTAATTAACATCCAGCTGTCTGCAATTAAAGTAAGTTCGAATCTCCCCAGGCTCAAGGTTGACTCAGCCTTCCATCCTTTCTAAGGTAGGTTAAATGAGGACCCAGATTGTGGGGCAATAAGCTGACTTTGTATAAATATACAAAAGGATGAAGGCTATTGCTTAACGCACTGTAAGCCGCCCTGAGTCTCCGGAGAAGGGCGGCATATAAATCAAATTTTTTTTAAAAAAGTGGCTAAGACGCTGAGTTTGTCGATTGAAAGGTCGGCAGTTCAGCAGTTCGAATCCCGAGTGCCGCATAACGGGGTGAGCTCCTGTTACTTGTCCCAGCTTCTGACAATCTAGCAGTTTGAAAGCAGGTAAAAAAAATGCGAGTAGAAAAATAGGGACCACCTTTGGTGGGAAGGGAACAGCGTTCCGTGCGCCTTTGGCATTGAGTCATGCCAGCCACATGACCACGGAGACGTCTTCGGACAGCGCTGGCTCTTCGGCTTTGAAACGGAGATGAGCACCGCCCCCTAGAGTCAGGAACGACTAGCACATATGTGCAAGGAAAACCTTTACCTTTACCTATCTTTCTTACATCGGAGCCATTGGGGATTGGTTTTATTTCTGTATCACCCAAAGGTGTCCCAAATACGCTTTTTCGAGAGGCAACTGGATTTTCTCGTTTTTTCCTTGAAGACGTTTCACTTCTCATTCCAAGAAGCTTCTTCAGCTTCGACTGAATGGTGGGGAATGGAAGGACTGATACTCCTTGCAGACAGCTGGTCGTTTGCAACCTTTTAGAGGGTCGTTGAGGCCACTTGGACCCTGAGGACACAATCAAACGTCCAACGACTCTCTCAAAGGATGCAAATGACCAGCTTGTCTGCAAGGACTATTTATGTAGGGTGCAAGGATGTTTAGTAGTAGTAAATAAATAGAGAAGGAAATTGTACTTTGTTGAGGCCTTTGACGCGAGTGGCCGGGAGGCGGGGCTGGGTGTGATGAATGACATCGAATTGGCCATGCCCACCCAGTCACATGACTACCCGGCCACGCCTATCCAGCCAGTCTTTAGGGCAGAGAACCGGTTATTAAATTATTTGAATCAAATTCATATTTATGAGTTTGGTCTACCAATTTATTCTTCTTCCAGTGAATCATTTTGTCATTCCTATAACTGCACGTTGAGATAATGTCTATCGGTTACTTTTTTTTTCCAATGACAGCCCCAACTGCTTTGTCAAAAAGCTGATAGCATTGTCAGCGATTCTATTAACAGAAGCAACGCCATCACCAACTTAAGAGGCAGTGAAATTCTCCCTCCTGCATATGAAGGAATGAAATTATACGTGCTAATAAGTGATTGAACGTTGTTGTTTTTTTAATTATAGCACAAGACATTTAATTGGGAATAAACCAGCGTTGCTCAAAAGGAACAGGTTGCAAATTTTTTGAAGAAAAAGTCTTTTTTGTTGTTGTTGCTTTGTTTTTAGAACAGAGTAGAAAAGGAAAAAGTTTTGTTGCATCATACTTATTTTTGGGGGGGAATTGGGGAGAAAGACATTCATGCTTCTTATGCATGAAGAACCAATAAAGCATTCTTTAGCATGCAAAAATCCTCTACAAAATTGAAAGACTGTTGGCAGGCTGTAATGATTAACTGGTTTTGAAGAATTCCTTATGTTTTCTCCCAGCCTCTTGCATTAAGCCATCATCATTCTTCCTCAAGAAAGGAAGCCCTTCCTTCCTTCCTTCCTTCCTTCCTTCCTTCCTTCCTTCCTTCCTTCCTTCCTTCCTTCCTTCCTTCCTTCCCATGCAGCATAGCAGGCTGACTCTGCCCACAGCTAGGAAGTTCGATCCTGACCAGCTCAAGGTTGACTCAGCCTTCCGTCCATCCGAGGTGGGTAAAATGAGGACCCAGATTGTTGGGGGCAAGAGGCTGACTCTGTAAACCGCTTAGAGAGAGCTGTAAAAGCACTGTGAAGTGGGATATAAGTCTGAGTGCTATTGCTATAATTAGTTTACTCTCCTTTTAACACCACCCAAACATTTGATTAAGAGCTAGGTGCGTCTGGCAGATATTCTTACAAAACCAGGAAGGAGGTTTTGTTTTGTTTTGTTTTAAATGTCATTCTTACTACTAAATTGGGATTATTCCTCCCTCCAACTGGTCTTAAAACCCACGAGTGAGAAATGAACATTTACAGACAATTAGGTTCCCAAACCAGCAGGAAAAATTGTCTCTAGGGCTCAGAGCCCAGACTAGCTTTGCAGCTGCCGAGAAGCGTTTTTTTTATTTTGGAAAGAAAAACAAATGAAACACGCCAAGGCAGGAATCAGACTTGCTCCCTTCGGTGCGACAGCTACGAGATCCCCACGATAAAATATTGCACAGCTCCCGTCCTACGAGGGACCGAAAAGCCCCCCCCCAAACTCGGCACTGTTGAAATTGTGGTCCATGGGATGGTTCCCTCTGCAGGGTAGAAAACCCTCAAGTTGTACTTTCCTACTGGAAGTTAATTGATTGTCCCCATGAAAAGCATTTCGGATGAGAAATGGCCACGAAGAGCAGCATTTCAGCCACAGACCACAAATTAATGGGTTAGAAAGGAAACAAAACACATCCTTTCCTTAACCCCCCTAAAGTTAATGTGGAGAAAATCAAAGTTTTACACCTAGGCAGGAAAAAAAACAACAACCAAAGGTACAAGTACAGATTAGGCGAAACCTGGCTCAAAAATAGCCACTGTGAGAAGGACTGTGAGAGATCTCCTGCTTGAGAAGGGGGCTGGACTAGATGACCTCCGAGGTCCCTTCCAGCTCTGTTCTGATTCAGATCCTAATCTTGGAGTCCTGGTGGACGATCCCTTAAACACAAGCCAGCTGCGTGCGGCGGTGGCAGAGGCAGCCAAAAAGCTAATAAAATCCCCGGTTGTATAAATAACGAGGCATAGAATCAAAATCACGTGAAGTATTAGTGCCGCTTTGTAAAGCCCTTAGTAAAGTCACACCTGGATTAACTGCATCCAGTTTTGGTCACCACGTAACACAAAAAAGGCGTTGAGACTTTGGAAAAAGTGCAGAGAAGAGCAAGTAAGATGATTAAAGGCCTGCAGACTAAAACATACGAAGAACGGTTGCAGGATTTGTGTTTGGCTAGTCTAGAGAAAAGGGGATGCAGTGGCTCAGTGGCTAAGACGCTGAGCTTGTCGATCGAAAGGTCGGCAGTTCAGCGGTTCGAATCCCTAGTACTGCATAAGGGGGTGAGCTCCCGTGACTTGTCCCAGCTTCTGCCAACCTAGCAGTTCGAAAGCAGGTAAAAAAAAATGCAAGTAGAAAAATAGGGACCACCTTTGGTGGGAAGGGAACGGTGCTCCGTGCGCCTTTGGCATTGAGTCATGCCGGTCACATGACCACGGAGACGTCTTCGGACAGCGCTGGCTCTTCGGCTTTGAAACGGAGATGAGCACTGCCCCCTAGAGTCGGGAACGACCAGCACATATGTGCAAGAGGAACCTTTACCTTTTTAGTCTAGAGAAAAGAAGGACTGGGGTGGACACGATAGCAGTATTCCAGTATTTGAGGGGCTGCCACAAAGAGGAGTGGGTCAAAGCCCCAGAAAGCAAGAAAAGAAACAAGTGTTCGAAACTAACCAAGGAGAGAAGCAACCTGGAATTAAGGAGAAATGTCCTGACAGTGAGGACAATTAACCAGTGGAACAGCTTGCCACCAGAAATTGTGGGCGCTCCATCACTGGAGGTTTTTTAAAGAAAAGACTGGATCGTCACTTGTCTGAAAAGGTCTAGGGTTTCCTGCCTGAGCGGGGGGTTGGACTAGAAGACCTCCGAGGTCCCTTCCAGCTCTATTCTGATTAATTGATTTTGCTTTACCGAGCTTATTTAATTTGGCCAAAGATAAAGCTGGCATGGGAGCGTGAGACTAAAACGTAAACTGCAAACTAATTACTTCTCTGGATTTGGAAGAAATCTTTTATTTTGTTGGGAATTAATCCACACTCTTAAGGTCCCTCCCAGCTCTATTCTGATTGACCGAAACCGTTTCAACAATTTGCTGTTGAATATTACCTCATCTGTACCAAGGAAATAGAAAGGGAAAATTAGCTCGCAGATGCCTTTGTATTTTATTGTTTCTGATTCTGTCGGTTCAACCGAGTCCAACATTCATCCCCCCTCTTCCTGATATTTAAATCTCTTAATATTGATTCAAGCAGACAGCATGCCAAAAATATGCATTCTGCAAAGAGAGAGAGAGAGAGACAAAATACACATTCTGCAGAGAGACCGGGAAAAAAAAGGAGAAAGAAATTACATAAACAAACGGAGGAACACCAAGTCCTATTCTTATTTTTGTCATTCTCTCCCATAGTGTTCATCGGAAAAAAGAACATTTGTCCCTCAGGGTTCCTGGTTTTCTCTGAGCTTGGTTTGTTTTCTTGCAGATGTGCACTGCTAGTACACTGATAATGTTACTTGGTTTGGTAATGAAACGTCTGGAAGAAAACAAAAAAAAAAAAACAAGCTCAGACCCCTCATTTCAACCCTGAGCTACAAATATTCTCCTTTCTGATTAACACCACCGGAAGAACAAATGGAAGAGGACAGAATCTAGGAGCTTAGCCATTCTCACGCCATCCCTTTATTGTAATTATTTACAGGAGGATTGTATTTATGCCTTTATTTATTTATTCTGTATGCATTGTAGTGTTGACGCGAGGAACAATATCCACATCTGAGAAACGAAAAGGCAGAGTGGAGAAAGCGTCAAGATGGAGAACATGACAATAAGGTCAAAAAGTTCGCCAAGAGGGGGGAGGAGGGGGAGGAGGAGGAGGAAGAGGAAAGGAAGAGGAAGGAGAAGGAGAAGAAGAGGAGGAGGAGGAGAAGAAAAGGAAGAAGGAGGAGGAGGGGGAGGAGAAGAGGAGGAAAAGGAGAAGAATAAGAAGGAGGAAGAGAAGGAGAAGAAGAATGAGAAGAAGGAGGAGGAGAAGAAGAAGAAGGAGAAGAAGAAGAGGAGGAGGAGGAGAAAAAGAAGAGGAGGGACAGGAGGAGGAGAAGAAGGAGGAGAAAAGGAGGAGGAGGAGAAGAAGAATGAAAGGAAGGAGGAGGTGGAGAGGAAGAGGAAGAAGAAGAAGGAGAAGAAGAAGAGGAGGAGGAAGAGAAGAAAAAAGAGGGAGAGGAGGACGAGGAGAAGAAGAAGGAGGAGAAGGAGAAGAAGAAGGAGGAGAAGGAGAAGGAGAAGGAGAAGAAGAAGAAGAAGAAGAAGAAGAAGAAGAAGAAGAAGAAGAAGAAGAAGAAGAAGAAGAAGAAGAAGAAGAAGAAGAAGAATCTTCCACCTTCGTAGCTTCAGGTGTTTCATTTGGAGTGTAACTCAAAAGAAGGCTGGAGATGAAAGAATTAATTAACTTTGGAGCATCTGTAACATCCAGCATGGCCATATATTGACTTTGGTCGTTTTTCAGCTACACAAGGCCACCCTGTTTTCCTGGGCGCCCATCAGTTCTTCCACAGTCTGGATTTCACCCAGATGTTTCTTCTCGAGCTCGGACGCTTCTTTGGAACTCCAGGCGGGAGGGTTGGGCAAGGGAGAGTCTCCTTCAACGAAACTGTCCAGTTCTGCGGGCCTTCCGTCTTGTTCGTCTGTCGGAGCTTCTGTTCCTCCATCCTCCGGTTCCACCGTTGACGGATCTTCGGCCAGCTTCGCGTTGTCCTCCTCAAGGCCGCTCGTGCCGTCTTCTTCTGACAGCAACTGGGACAAGGATGAATGGGAATCGTTGGCTTGAGGACCGCTCTTTGGGTTTCCGCGCATGTCGTCTGAAAGGAGGACAGGTTCTTCCGGAAGAATCCATTCTCTTTTAGCAGGACACGGGATGGGCGGCTGCCTTGGTTGATCTTCTACAGGAGAAAAAAAATGGGAATATTGTATGTTTCTGGGCGGACAGTGAGCAGGAACAATAGATAAGAACCAAGTACCCTGTTTCCCCAAAAATAAGTCTCTGTCTTATATTTTTTTGAACCCTGAAATAAGCGCTTGGCCTTATTGCCATGCTCTCAAAAGCCCAATTGGGCTTATTATCAGGGGATGCCTTATTTTGGGGGAAACAGAGTAATTTTCATAGGCAGAATTGTTCTGATCTAGGCTTCCTTAGAAAGCATAACGCACACTCTTAGTCCCGGCAAACCTCTTTAATTCCTACGATTGTGAATTATTGTCATTCCCAGTCCGCAAGGCTTCACAAACAGTCTTTCAGGGGAATGTTTATAAACACCCACCTTATCTCCCTTGGAATGCTGCCAGAGAACTAATTGCCACACACGGGGCAAGGCCAAACTTAGCACAGAGTCAAACAGAGCTTTTCCAAAGTTTTTACCGACCAGATGAACTAATTGCTTCCTGCAAAAGCTCACGTCCCGTTCGCTTCTCTTTTATATCTTATGGGAGGGGCCAATCATCTCCAAACCTTACTCCCAAGTCGACCCTGTTTTCTTAATTGTTCTGTTCCAGCAGCTCTGCTCATGTGCACACTGGGACCAGGCTCCCGCTGTTTTTCTGCCTCGCTGATGTCAAACTCCGGAGACTCCGGAGGCAGCAAAAAACTCCCAGATGGCCTTGGCCCCCTCTCTGCCTCTGACGCAGAGCCCTCGTCTGAGCCTTCCCCAGACTCCAGGACTGGCCCATGTTACTCTTCACTGTCCGAATCTGCTGCCAGCTCTGCTGGCCGCTGGCGGGCCAAAACAAGAATTTAGGCCATGGTGTCCAACCTTGGCAGCTTGAAGACTGTGGACTTCAGCTCCCAGAATTCCCCATGCTGGCTGAGGGATTCTGGGAGTTGAAGTCGACGGGTCTTAAAATTACCAAGGTTGGACACCCCCGATTTACACCATTACTTTGGGGGAAGAAAAATGCCCAATCCTAATTCTTATCCTTTTAGCTGTTTGAAAGACATGGTTACAGATGGTCCTCATTTAGTGACCATAATTGGGACGGGGAAAACTTGGTCACTAAGCGAAACTGTGACAGTGCTTATGAACTTAACACGGCTTTCCTTGGTTTTGCAGACCCGCGAAGGTCATAAATGTGAGGATTAGTGACTTTTTCATCACCATCATAACTGCAAACAGAGACTAAATGAGAACTAGCCGTATGCAATCCCAGGCTATGAATTTTCAAGTAAAAACAAATCAAGTTACAGATTTTTGTTCCTCTCGGTCAATTGACTGGGGTGTAATAATTTCCCCTGTCCTTTTTCAAGAACAAACTGATTTTTATATTTACTTTCCTGGCTGGATTGTAATGGAAAACTGTCGCTTAATCAACCAGAACAAGGTACAATGTTGCATGCACAAAGGAGGAAGAGGAGGAAGAGCGGGAGGAACAGGGGAAGGAGGAGGGGAGAGGAGAAGAGGAAGAGGACGAGAAAGGGGAGGATGGCCCATTTGGCACAGCCCATTCGGCCCCGCAACCGCCCGTTTGCCGTGGCCCGTTCACCGCCCCAGCCTATTTTCTGTGGCCCGTTTGCCACAACCCGTTTGCCTTCACCGTGGCTCGTTCGCCGCGGTCCATTCGTTGCTGCCCATTCGCTGCCGATTGCTGTGAACAGGTGGCAGACAGGATAGGCGGTGGCAGCGATCACCGCCGCCTAGAACAGATGATCGGCGCTGCACCACATCCCCTCCACCCCCCGCAATATTAACCTTATAAGACGCACAGACATTTCCACCCACTTTGGGGGGAGGGGTGGAAAGTGCGCCTTATAGTCCGAAAAATATAGTATTTGTTGGGCTCCATCCCATTCTGCGTTCCCACAGGCCCGCTGGCAGAACCAGGCCTTCAGGTCCTTCTGAAAGAGTGTCGGAATTGGGGCTGATCTAATTTCCGGAGGGATGAAGTTCCAGAAGGAGGGAGCTACCCCGGAGAAGGCTCTTCTTCTGGGTCCTGCCAGATGGACCTCCTTAGGAGTCGGGACCCTCGACATTCCTCGCCTCCCCGCTCTAGTCGGTCAGGTAGGTGTGACCGGCAAGAGACGGTCGCTCAGATAACCTGGTCCCAACATGTCATCGTTTCCAAAAATTGGGATTTCTGCTATTACAACTCCAGAGGCTTACCTTCTAGCTTCTGCTGTGACTTCTCGACGAATGCTCGTAATGGGGATCGTGACCTCTGGATTGCAGGAACAGCCGGTTCGCTAAAGGTAATCGTATCCTTGCCGCCTGTAATCATAGGACACGAACATATTAATTTCCCTTATCCCGTCCAAAACCAAAAGAGATAAAAAAAGAATCGAACTTAAGCATTTAAAACAAGGACATTCTACTTGATACAGGAGCGGTGCGGTGGCCTAGAGAGGTGGAGCTCTCGCCTCACAATCAGGAGGCTGTGAGTTCGATCCTAGGTAGAGGCAGATATTTCTCTCTCTGGGCACGATGAGAATATATCAGCTGAACAAAACTCCGCCCTGGCGTCAGGAAGGGCATCCGGCCAGTAAAACGCTCTGCTTGCTCCATTCATTTGCCCAGATTCCACCCCGCAAAGGATTATGGGGTCGTTAAATGATGATATTGTACTTGATACCAGAAAGATCTTGGTCTTTCTTTCTCGCTTACTTCACTCCTCCCTCTCTGTTTAATTGTTTAGAACTTTAATCAACTCTTAAATCACATCCAATAATCCAAGTGTTTTGGATTAAAGCTCAAAAGATGGAATTTCAGGCCAGAAAAAAATGCTAGATTAGAAATCTCAGCCCTGATGAAACCAAGATATCCTACTTGACATCAGAAGGAACTTGCTAATGTTTGTCTCCCTTCCTCTGTCTCTCGCTCAAGAGTCTGAGCAAGATTGGCACGTTCTCCTCCGAGAATCAACTCTTCCTCTTCTTCCCAGTGGCACAAATAAATACATAAATAGCACGAGTCACTCTGGAAAACATAGCTTTGAGCTTAAGGGTAGAGAAACAATTATTACGTTCATGGAGAGCTTATCAAAACGGACCTGCAGGCACTAACTCAGCAGTCCAGACTGCGGATGGTGATGAATTTTTGGCACAGTGACTACAGAAAGGTGACTGTTTAGTTAAAGTCCTCTGTTTAGTAGACTCGGTCTTGCTCCAGCTGTCACATCGGAAGAATTTTTGGAAGACCGAGAAATTAAGAGCGTCGCCTCAAACGGCACCCGTTGACCGAGGAAAAATTCCTTTTGTTTGAAGGAAGGTTCATTAAAAGAACCAAACTGAACGTCTACGGAGATCCTCAGCCATCCAGAACATGGTTGTAACAAGTGTTTTTTTTTTCAAGAAGCAAATGGACTTTCTTGGTTTTTTTTTCTTGAAGACGTTTCGCTTCTCCTCCAAGAAGCTTCTTCAGCAGCTGACTGAATGGTGGGGAATGGAAGGATTGATATTCCTTGCAGACAGCTGGTCATTTGCATCCTTTTAGTGGATGTTGTTGAGGCCGCTTGGAGGCTTCTCTGTGTCCTCAGGGTCACCTGAGTGGTGCAAATGGATGTGGAGCCTTCTTGGAACTACCGAATGGACTGTGTTGTAAACTGGAGATCTATCTATCCATCCATCCATCCATCCATCCATCCATCCATCCATCCATCATCATCTTCCTTCCTTCCTCCCTCTCTCCCTTCTTCCTTCCTTCCTCCCTCCCTCCTTCCTTCCTTCTTTCCTGTCTCCTTCCTCCCTCCCTCCTTTCTTTTTTCCTGTCTCCTTCCTCCCTCCCTCTCTCCCTCCCCAACTCTTACATTTGCACCTCTTACACTCAGAAACATTTCTTCCCTTATTACACTTCCTTCCGATTAGAAACAACTGTGCAAGGAACCTCGATTTCTCTTGCGACTGTCTCGAGTCGAATATCTTAAATCGGGCAAGATAGCATTGAAAAACATTTCAGATAACATTTCCATCAATATGCGCCGGCGGTAATACTTGGCGCACATTAAAAGGTTTGTTACTAAAAACGTAAATACGTCAAGGAGAAACCTACTCCCGAGTCCCACTGAGATATTGTAGCTCAGGCCTTCAGGCAGCAAGGAGAAAAAGAAGGAAAGAAAACCGTTATTATATCAAATGTTAGTTTGCTGTCTAAACAAGAACAGAGCGAGAGATTCAGAGGCTGTGGCCTCTCTTTCACCATGGATTTGCTTTAAAAGCGCCAGACATCTCTTCAGTGAATTTATGAACGCCTCTGGGGAAACATTTAAATTAAGAGTGTCTGCGGTTAAGAACAACACAAACAAAAACGCAAAGCCCACGTTTGAAAAGGGGTTGCAAATCCTCCTTTACCTTCGCCACCACTAACTACGGGTATCCCTCAACGTACGACCACAATCGAGCCTAACGTTCGTGTTGTTAAAGTGAGAAATTTGTTAAATGAGTGTCAGGGTTCCGATGCCCTAATTAATTCATGATCCTCGAGCCAAGTTTCAAAAGAAATCTAGTTATTTATTAGGAGCAACATGTCGGCACATACCCAAGTGGAGTCAGCTCTGCCCCATGTAATTTATGCCCCAACTATGACCCTGTTTCCCCTCTCCTCCCAAGGTGTGTCATAAATCACATTCTCCAACGGAGCACTTTCGCGGGCTGTAGAGAACACGCCTGGCTCTGGTAACCTAGGATGCAGCATTGAGAAAGGTATGCGTGGAATGTGCTTCTGATTGCTGCCATGTTGCTCCATCAGTTTTCCCCCCTCCCCTGCCCTCCCTGCCTATGGCAACTCGAGAGCAGGCCAGGAATGCTTTGCGAGATAACAATGAGTTTTGCTCGGTTTTACGACTTTCCGTGCCACACGTGTTAAGCAAATCACCAAAGTTATTCAATGAGTAACATGGTCATTAAGTGGATCTGCCTTCCCCATTGACTCCGCTGGTCAGAAGGTCACCAAAGGGGATCACATGACCCCTCCCCCCTGGGGCTCTGTGACCGTCATAAATGTGAGTCGGTTGTCGAGCATCTGAATGTCGATCACGTGACCATGGGGAGGCAGCGACGGTCGTAAAGAGTGAAAAACGGTCCTAAGTCACTTTTTTCAGTGTTGACCGGTCACTAAGCGAACCGTTGTAAGTCGAGGACTACCTGTTATCAACATAGTGTATGTGTGGATTCAAGGAGGATGGCCTTTTGCAATTAACAGGTGGAAATTTTTACTAAATGCTACTAACCTGGGAGACTCCATAAGCCAGAAACTTCTAAAGTTCTCAGTTTTTTCTCCAGCTCGGCCACCCGGTTGCCTAAGATTCTGAAAAAAGGATTCGATATTTTATATAAAAGAATTTAAAAAATTAAGATTTACATGGAGATACAGGGGCTGTTTAGGAATTCGTCTACACGCCTCTCTCTGTTCTGCCCCAGCTATGGACCCCGAAGAACGCAGCACACACAAAGTCCATTCAAACCTTAGTTTACTAAACAAACCAGTCTTTTACAACAATGGCTGTTAATTAATTGCATTAACAGCTGCCAAGAATTCAAAGAATAATAACTGAAAGCTTACTGTGGTTGGCAGAATGCCCAGAAGCAATTTGCAGGAAGCTGATAAGATAAGCAAGACAAGACACGAAGGTATGTGAACGAAGTTGTTTCCTGCAAATTGCTTCAGTCGGTGTTCCTCCTTAAATAGGTTAAGGGAGTGGTCAATTAGCCCCAAGCCTTACTCTCGAGGAGACCTCCTCCTGAGGAGCCACTCCTGCCTTTTGGCAGTTCTGTGCGCCCGTGCATCGAGAAGAGGCTCCTCCTCTTCGTCCTCTTCACTTAAGGGAGCTTCTGGAGGTTCTGAAGGCCCTGGCTGAATCCCCGCCTCTGGCACCACATCTTCTCCAGCCTCCTCATTGTCTGACTCGAGTGCCAGCTGCACAGGCTGCTGACGCAACACCACACCAGCCTCCTCGCTGACTGAATCAGCTATTAATTGCACAGGCCGCGTACAGGCCACAACACTCTCTCTCTCACACATACAGGCATACAGTTATGTACAAACACAAATATATAATTATAACATTTTGCAGCTTTCGAGACACGGTTAAAATGGACTTAACCCACAATTCTCATCTTAATAAATCGATCGAAACTGATTTTCCAAGACTGATTTTCTTTTAAAGTAGCAAAATGTGGCTGGTAAGAAATACAAGAAGCCCTCAACTTACAAAAGTTCGTTTAGGGATCGTTCAGAGTTACAACGGCACTGAAAAAAGGGGACTTATGACCGTTTTTTCACAGTTATGACCGTTGCAGCATCCCCTGGGATCACGTGATAAAAATTCAGCCGCTTGGCCAATGGTTCATATTTATGACAGTTGTAGTGGTCCCTTTGGCGACCTTCTGATGAGCAAAGTCAATGGGGGAAGCCCAATTCGCTTAACCACCGGATTGCTAATTTGACATCTGCAGTGATTCACTTAACAACTGTTAAGTGAAGGGTTGTAACATGGGGTAAAACTGACTTAAGAACTGTGCCAATCAGCAACAAAAATTTTGGGCTCAATTGTGGTCATTAGTAGAGGACTAGCTGTGTGTGTGTGTGTGTGTGTGTGTGTGTGTGTGTGACAGAGGGAGGGAGGGAGGGAGGGAGAGAATTGGTCATAAGTCACTTCTTTCACAACTGTGGTCACTTTGAATGGTCCCCAGATGAATGGTTGTAAGTCAAGGACTACATATTTATCTCCTTCATCCTTTTTTTCCAGTGTTTTTTGGAAAAAAAAGTTCCAAAAAGCATCACACCCTCGGTGAGGGCAAGTAAATGACCAGATCAGCAAAGCTTGTGGAGAAATTGTCAAGGTGGTGATTTAAGAGCTGACCAGCTGCTACAATGATGCAATAATGTAATGATGGGAATGAGTCTGCAAGGTTTTTGGCTGTTATCCCTTTAAGAGCCTGTATAATAAGAAGAGGCCCTGTTAGGGCGTCTCTCTCTCTCTCTCATTCCCTCACTGTGTGTTTTTCCCTGCTGTAATTGCTGATTGGTTGACCTCTGCCTGTAGTACGTGTATGTATAGTATATATTGTTTTGTAGATAAAACCACTATTATATGACAAACCTGTTTGCTGTTATTGCTCCTGGGTTGTCTCACGTAGTAAAGTTGTGCGCGCTGACAGAAATTCTACACCAGTATATTATAGAAAAAAAAAAAAAACACTTACTTGTTGGTTTGTCTTTGGTGCTGGATGACCATATTTTTCTCATGGATGGTCTCCAATAAAGCAGTAGCCAAGGATTTGAGATCAGAAATGGACTGAGGCGTTGCCGGTAAACTGCAGCCATGATCTTCGGATAACAGCTCTTGCACTAGGAAACAGTTGAAGGAAGTCAAAACATATTTAGGAATGTTATAACAGTACAGGTGGTCTTTGACTTATGACCACAACTGAGTTCAAAATTTCTGTCGCTACCCAAGACATTTGTTAAGAGAGTTCTGCCCCGTTTTAAGGCTTTTTCTGCCACAGTTGTTAAGCGAATCACTGCAGTTGTTAAGTGAATAACATGGTTGTTAAGTGAATCCGGCTTCCCTGTGGACAAAAGGGGATCATGTGACCCCAGGACCAGTATGACCGTCATAAATACGAGTTAGTTGCCAAGTGTCTGAATTTTGATCACATGACTGCGGGGATACTGCAACGATCAAGAGTCCCTTTTTTCGGTGCTGTTATAACAACAACAGGGCTATTATAATAAATATAACAGGGCTGTTATAATAAACTACTAACGCTCTCGTCTATGTTTTAGATCACACATTGTGTATAGATATGTGTTGATTCATTAAAAAAAAAAATTTAAAAAAAAATCTGAGGGGTTGTTTTGAGGGGAAGCTTCCTGGCTGCCCAGCCACCATTCCGCTGTTCATTTAAAAGACCCTGTGATCTGTGAAGATGCAGATCCATGTGAGTTCCAAGTAAAATGCTGCAGTTTTAAATAAAGCCCACTAGGACCAGAAATAAACCAACTCTGCTCCCTGATACAGAGACGAACACAAAGCGATACGACGTCCTGCCAATGTCCTATCGGGCCCACCGTTGTCAATTTCAGAAGAAAAATGCGAGGAGAAAACTCTGTGCCACACCTTGCTTTGCAGAAAGGATTCCAGTCAGCGCGCTGCTGTTTGATTTGCTGTGACCCTTCGTATTTTTCCTTCTTTCTAGAGCGTTCTAAAGAAAGAAGGGGAAGCCCAGGGAAAAATATGTATTAAAATGGGGGAAGAAAATCTGATTCTTATTTTACTAATAAAGGAAAACATTTGTAGCTCAGGGTTGACATGAGGGAGGTCCTTGGAGCTCTTTGGGCTTGCTTATTTTCTTGCAAACATTGAATTACCAAACTAAGTAACATCATCAGTGCTAGAAGGGAGCGGGGTTTGCAGAGAGGAGATGATGATGGAAGAGGAGGAGGAGGAGGAGGAGGAGGAGGAGGAGGAGGAGGAGGAGGAGGAGGAGGAGGAGGAGGAGGAGAAGTGGGGGGTCCTTGGTGCTCTCTGAGCTTGCTTGTTTTCTCAAAACGTTTAATGATCTAAACTAGGTAAAACTAGAACCAGATTCTTATTCTTCTTATTATTTTTAAAAAAAGAATGTTAAGAAGTCCAGTTTTGGTCTTGCAGTTTTTTCAACTGAATATAAGCTGCTATTTACAAGCATCAACATATATATTACGGTGCTCCATAGATAATACATGTAATATACGTAAACTTGGAGAAGGTGGAATGCTTTTTTATCACAGAAAAATGGGGACGTATCTAGAAGTCCAAAAAATTACAGAAGAAGCAACTGAACTACATAAAAGAAAGGAAGGAGGAGAAGGACACCAACTGGCTATACATTAAACCAGGAGTCAGCAACCTGCAGCCCTGGAGCCGCATGTGGCTCTTTCACCCCTCTGCTGTGGCTCCCTGTCACTCAAAATATGCGTCACAACAAGCAATGTGTGACACCCACCAGCACACAATTTATTGAGCTTTTCAATCCCCCGTAGGCCAACCATGGATAAATCCAAGAAAAGAAAAGTTTCAGAAGAAAACAAAGTTTAATTCAACTACATAGGCTAGTTTTTGTGGCCGCTCAAGAAATAGTCAGGTACGGGAAGGGTTTTTGTGGCTCCCGGTGTTTTCTTTTCTGTGGGAAACGGGTCCAAATGGCTCTTTTGAGTGTTTAAGGTTGCAGACCCTTGCATTAAACCAAGGGCATAATGGACACCTGTGCAATTATTAATTTAAATGGGGCTTGTACAAAATAATGCACTGTGACTTGAGCGCTAATAAGTTTTTTAAAAAATGTATCATGCTGTATCACACTGGAGGTATCATTACAATCATTGGATGAATCGAAAGTTATTGTTGAGACTCAAAGAATCCATCAATTATGCCTCCAGTGACTTTTTTTTCCCTTCGATAAAAGTTATTTTTGCTATTTTGTATTGAGAGAGACAATGAAGGGTCTGGGGTGGACTAGAGGATCTCTAGGATCCCTTCCTTTCCCTGACTCTAATTCTATGATTCTGAAGATTTAGGAGATGAATGAACAAGCAATTTCTTCTGCAAGAAATACAATTTCAGAGGGAATAAAGAGAACGGAAACATGTCTTTTGATAGGCAGATAACACAAAGTGAATTATGCAAAAGAATAATTCTACCAATATAAACAGAAAATATTATGTTTAAAAGCTGCCTAAAGCTTCATTAAAAAAAAAAAAAAAGCTAAATTATCTAATTGCACTATATAGAAATATTAGCAGGCTGCTTTTTTTTTTTTTTAGTGAAAGAAAGAAATATTTCGAAGACTGATGAAGTTAAAAAAAAAACCCACATTAATTAGCCTTGTAAGAAGTTTGAAATATATTACCCTGCAAAAAGATTACCATATAATTCCACGGTATAATTTACCTTGTATTTCACAATGTTCGATTTCAGAATATTAACCTCTTCTTGAACTTGTTTTAATCGCTCGTGAAGGTACCTGAATTTTGGGGATGAAAAGAAGTGAATATATTATTCAGACGCCATTCATTCAGTATTTCAAAGCGAGCTACGAGCTTCATGGTGGAAAGAACGAGAAATAATGGGTTGGAGCAGAGACAAAATCCTACGATTTACATTCAACACCTCGTCAATTGTTCTGTCCCACCCATGCACACAGAGGGGTAAGGAGCTTATTGATATTCCCCTGCAATTCCCTGTGCCGGCACAAAGTTTAACTTCAGTGAGTTCCACAGGCTACTCAAATGAAGCCTCTAGATGTTTGACGGTGTTCGAGAGATAGTTGCAGGATGGAAGCCGTAAAGCTGCCTTCTGCAATTGACTGATGGCAAACTTGTCAATGCCAACAGTGTTCAACTGGTGCTCCCAAGGAGCCTATGGCTATTGGTCGTACCCTTTGCTTGCCTTGGCCATAGTCCTCCTATTTCTATTTGTAGGTCTTTGTAATTTGTTATCTTCTCCAGTTTCTTTCTCTTCTATTCTGCTGTCTCCGGGCACTGCCACATCTTATCGACAACTGTTAAGTCCGGGGTGTTTTATGTGGCAGGATTCTGAAGTCCCAGAGCAATTTAACGTCTTCATTTTCTATTGACTTGTTTCTATTTTACGGTCCCACCAGTTCTCGCTTGCAGGCAAAGGATATTTCTCGCAGATCTTCCAATGCACCATTGTTGCTACTTGGTCATGCCGCTGCTTGTGGTCAGTGTGTGCGAAGATCGCCTAGACCACATGACCACGGAAGAGTCGTCGGACAACAATGACTCTCTCGACCAAGAAATGGAGATGAGCACCAACCCTTTGAGATGGACATGACTAAACAGGGGAAATCTCTCCCTTCCTATGTTAACAGGTTCGTGTATTTTTTTCCTCTCTTTAGTGATTCGGCTATTTTTATTTTTTATTTTATAATCCACTTTAATATTTTTTTCCCCAAGTTGCTTTTGCCGCATTACTACCGCCTACAATATTTGCAGCAAAGATGGACCCTAAATCAGTGATGGCGAACCTTAGCGGAAACGTCACACGCACATGCGCTCATGGGGGAAAACAGAATGTCTGGGTTCTAGCGCACATGCGTGACCGACGATCAGCTGACCGGCACGCATGTGCAGGCCTGTTTTCAGCACTGTCTCGTGTGTGAAGGGATCACGCACTAAAAAAACCGAACTTCCAGGTTCTAGTGAGCATGCACGCCCAACGATCAGCTGTTCGGTGCGCAGGCGCGCACCGGTTTTCAGCAGTGACGCGTGCGCGAAGGACAGCTGATCGTCGAGCACGCATGCATGCTAAAACCCCAGAAGACCAACAGGCAAGGCTGCCATGTAGGGTGACATGGCTTCACGTGTCACTTTGGGTTAGGTTCGCCATCATGGCGCTTGATGAATCCTTTTGGTGTAAACTCAGTTCTGCAGTGACGTCACGTCCTGCCCTCAATAAATCACGACGAATTCCTAAGCAAACTCACCTATTTTCCATGCAGAGAGCATCTATATCAATAATCCGGTCAACGTGTCCTCCGAGGACATGGTTGAGCTCTTGGTTTAACTTTTCGGATTTATCTTGGTAAAAAGAACGTTCTTCTCTCACATCCTGGAGCTCATCCAACGACGCTTGAAGGTCAAGCTGCAGAGTCTCCATCTGGCGAGAGAGCCAAGCTCAAAAGCGTTAATGAAGGTAAGGAGAACTTGCGCACGGCCAACTCAGCCTGCTCATTTTTTTGCCAAGAGTTTTTCTATCTCCCATGCCTATTTTCAGGAACTAACGTGACAAAGTTAGAGGAAAAGACTGCGCAGAGACAAACTGGAAGGAGGGGATTACGGAGGTGGGCGGCACATGAATTAACAACCGGTTCGCCCCAGCACCGAAAATGTGAGCGCGTACATATTCTGTGCATGCGTATTGCTCGCACGCGCACTTCCACTCATGCGCATGGCTTAAAAAATGCAGCTAAATAAGACGGCATAGCGCCAGAGCGAGCGGGTGCACCCGCAGGTCACAACTATCAGTACGCTCAAACCGATCCAAACCGGCTGAATCCCACTCCTGGGGGATTCTATGTTTTTTTCTGTTTTATCGAGGGTCAAAGCTAATCAGGGTTGGCTAGGAGACCATGTTTGAGAAAAAAAAAAACTTCTCAGGAGTCAAGACAGTTTGAACCATTTTTCTTTGCTGGCGTGAAGCAAGCAACGAGTTTGATTCCAAGGAGAACTTTTGAATCCATGGCTGTTGGTCACCATGGATTCAGGGACATTCTGCGATAAGACTTATCATCTACAATAAGAATATCATCTACAAGGCCAGTAATATCATACTACTACAGGTAGCCCTCGACTTAAAACAACAACAGTGTCCCAAAATGTCTGATGGTGAGTCAGACATTTGTTAAGTGAGTTCCACCCCCCCCATTTTACCACTTTTCTTGCCACCGTTGTTAAGTGAATCACTGCAGGTGTTAAGTTGGTAGCCCAGTTGTTAAGTGAATCTGGCTTCCCCTATGAAGAAGTGAAATTTAGGACGAAGAGGTGAGGATCTATGTTCACAAAGCAGGGAAATTTTTGTTCACTTACTTGTTCTCGTGCTTTCTCCAGCTGCTGCACGAGATCTTCACGCTCGTGGGGCGCAAAATGGCGGGCTCCAACTTCTTCATCCCCGAGTCTTTGCTTGGCAATCGTCATCCGAAGAAGCTGGAAGAAGAAGAAGAAGAAGAAGAAGAAGAAGAAGAAGAAGAAGAAGGAGAAGGAGAAGGAGAAGGAGAAGGAGAAGGAGAGGGAGAGGGAGGGGAGGGGGAGGGGGAGGGGGAGGGGCAGGGGGAGGAGGAGGAAGGAGGAAGAAGAAGGAGAAGAGAAGGAGGAGGAGGAGGAGGAGGAGGAGAAGAAGAAGAAGAAGAAGAAGAAGAAGAAGAAGAAGAAGAAGAAGAAGAAGAAGAAGAAGAAGAAGAAGAAGAAGAGAAGGAGAGGGAGAGGGAGAGGAGGAGGAGGAGGAGGAGGAGGAGGAGGAGGAAGGAAGAAGAAAAAGAAGAAGAAGAAGAAGAAGAAGAAGAAGAAGAAGAAGAAGAAGAAGAAGAAGAAGAAGAAGAAGAAGAAGAAGAAGAAGAAGAAGATGATGATACAGGAGAATTGATAGCAGCGTTTGACTATCTCGGGGGTTGCCCCAAAGAAGATGGGGTCAAGCTATTCTCCAAATCCTCTGAAGCAGGGGTGTTAAACTCAAGGCCCGGGGGCCGCCCCAGCCCATGGGGTGCTTAAATCTCGGCTGCGGGGCTTCCCTGGACCGGCCCACAGTACCTCTGCCAGCAAAAACGGAGCTTGCAAGGGCCACACGTGGCCCTCCCGAGCTCCGTTTTCACTGGCAGAGGGTTGCAGGAGGCCGTGGTAGCCGAAAACGGAGCTTGGGAGCTTGTTTTGGCTCCCAAGTTCTCGGGGCACCACAGCCCCCCCCCCCGACGTGAGTGACATCATGCTGGCCACGCCCATCCCAGCCCAAGTTCAAACACAACCCTGATGTGGCCCTCAATGAAATCGAGTTTGACCCCTCTGATCCAAAGGTTAGACAAGACGCAACGGATGGAAACTCATCAAGGAGAGAAGCCACCTGGAACTAATGGTTACAATTGCGTAATTGTATTTAATGTGTACCCTACCTTGTTGTCTCCCTGCACTTCTCCCAGTCTTTGATGCAGTTCTTTGATTTCTTCCCCTAAATGTTTATTTCGATCCCGGGAATCACTCAGAAGCTGGGTGAGATTTGCCTGGGAAAAAGGGCAAGAAACGGTCACGAGGGGAACCCAAAGATTCAGCTGAGAAAAAACAACAACTATTTTTTATTGGATGCTTTTTCTAGAATTAAAATTAATGCAAGTGAAGAAGAAGAAGAAAAAAGCAAGCCATATGTGCATATAGAGCTTGCAGGTAATAGATAAATAGCAATAGTTGGCAACACAAATACGCAGGAATATTCTACCAAGTTTTTATCTTATCTTATCATTTATTTATTTATTTATTTATTTTATTTGATTTCTATACCGCCCTACTCCTGAAGGACTCAGGGCAGTGCACAGCCAAACAATAAAATACATACATACAAAATTTAAAAAGCAGAATTAAAATCAAATTAAAGAGTTTTGGCCCCGACAAATTTAAAACCCCAAACTTTTAAAACCAATTTAAAATTGAATGTATAAAATACTAAAAGATATTTAAAAATTAAACATCTTTTATAAAAGAGGGAGAAAATTAGGCCAGGCCCGCCTGGTGAAATAATAAGGTCTTTAGAGCGCGGCTGAAGGTGCGCAGATCCGGGATCCTCCATATCTCTGGGGGGAGCTCGTTCCAGATAGTAGGTGCCCCCACAGAGAAGGTTCTCCCCCTGGGGGCCGCCAGTCGGCATTGTTTGGCCGACGGCACCCGGAGGAGCCCCTCTCTATGGGAGCGTACCGGCCGGTGGGAGGCTATTGGTGGTAGTAGGCGGTCCCGCAAGTACCCAGGTCCTGCGCCATGGAGCGCTTTAAAGGTGGTAACCAAAACCTTGAAGCATCTTATCTTATCTTTTATCGTATATTTTATCGTATATTTTATATTTTATATATTTTATCTTATCTTATTTTATCTTATCATCTTATTTTATAATTCCTGAGGCCCTCTGGAGGCTGGAAACGGGCCTGTACTTCCCGAACTTCCGATAGGCCCGTTTTTCACCCTTCCCGATCCTCCGTGTGTGCCCTGCACTTACCTGCATCCAAAACGGGTCGCGTGGGGACTCCTGGAAGCAGTGGGGTGGGCGGGGCCAGCCAGGAGTGGGATTTGGGGGTTCTCCAAACTGCACAGAATCTTAGCTAGAGGTTCTCCCGAACAGCCGAGAACTCCTAACAGCCCACCCCTGGATCTCTCTTCTTGAAAGAATTTGTGACCTAGAAATGTCAGTTATATTAGTCAGAAATAAAACCTACTTGTTTTCTTTTCTCCGGAGGGAGAGACGGATCGCCATCCTAAAAGGAGAGGGGAAAAAAAAGGAGAGGAAAAATTCTAATTTCCCCTAAACTTTTAGTAAAGTATTGTATCACTGAACCTTAGGCATTAAAACATTTCCGCTCTAAGCGGAAGTTTGAAGTTTGCATAATGTTATTAATATGAATAATAATGTGAACGGTTTTGAGAAAATCAGAATTTAAAAGAAGTTAATGGAATATTTAACCTCGCTCACTGCATTAACAGAAGAAGGAAGGAGCGGTGCGGTGGCCTAGAGGTGGAGCTCTCGCCTCACAATCAGAAGACTGTGAGTTCGATCCTAGGTAGAGACAGATATTTCTCTCTCTCGGCACAATGAGAATATATCTGCTGAACAAAACTCCGCATTGGTGACAGGAAGGGCAGCCGGGCAGTAAACACTCAGCTCCATTCAGGTGCCCAGACTCCATCCCTGAAGAGATTATGGGGTCATTCAATGAACGTGATTGCATTACCAGAAGGAAAAGGTTTTATTATCCTATCCAAATTTTCAAACCGGCTACGTACAATTAGTTCTTGGTATTTCTTTTTTAGCGATTGGTGCTTTTCCCGTAGTTGGTTAGCCATTAGCTTGAACTGGTCTCTTTCCTGTTGACACGAATCAAGTTCCTTCGAAAGAATGAGGAGCGCTTCCTTCTTGCTCTCCAGTTTCCGTTTACACACCAGGTACTACAAGAAAACCAAGGCAAAACTTTAGTACGTGCGCCGTACAAAGTAAAATGATGTTGTGGCCCACCAGCGGCCTGCGCGGATCATGGCTGATCCCGACGACGAGGAGGCTGGTGTGGGGTCGCATCAGACAGCGAGGAGGCTGAAGAGGATGTGGTGCCAGAGGCAGAGACTCAGCCAGGACCTTCAGAACCTCCAGAGGCTCCTTCAAGTGGAGAGAGCGAAGTGGAGGAGCCTCTCCTCAATGCTCGAGCACGCAGGGCTGCCAAAAGGCAGGAGTGGCTACTCAGGAGGAGGAGGTCTCCTCGAGAGTAAGGCTTGAGGATAATTGGCCACTCCCTTAGCCTATTTAAGTCACACGCCGTTAGTAACTTTCTTGATAGAAACAACTCGTATTTATTATCAGAGTATTTTGGTTTATCATATCTTGTTTTCTGGGCTGGTTGCCAACCTTTGCTGGTCTTGTTTATTCTTGCTACTTAATAAATTTTATAAGGACCGTTGGTGTGTGTCAATATCCTCGGAAATCCGGAGCTGGGGCAGAACAAATGAATATTCAGAAACATTTCTGTGTAAAGAAGAAGGAATATACTTGGGAGTGCTTTCCAAAATTAAGATTTGTGTCAATGTCTCTGGAGATTCTCAATCATCCAGGTCGTGATTGTCCCAAAGGTGCTTTTTTTTCAAAAAAAACAACTGGGCTCCCTTGCCCGGGGAACCTCAACTAAAACTCAGGCTATTTGTTAACCCCAAATGTCTGCAGCTGTTCTGCCCCAGCTACGGACCCCAAAGAACGCAGAACACACAAAAGTCCATTCAAACCTTGGTTTACTAAATAAATCAGTCTTTTACAACAACGGCTATTAATTAATTGCATTAACAGCCGCCAAGAATTCAAAGAATAATAACTGAAAACTTACTATGGTTGGCAGAATGCCCAGAAGCAATTTGCAGGAAGCTGATAAGCAAGACAAGACACGAAGGTATGTGAACAAAGTTGTTCCCTGCAAATTGCTTCAGTTGGCGTTCCTCCTTAAATAGGCTAAGGGAGTGGCCAATTAGCCCCAAGCCTTACTCTCGAGGAGACCTCCTCCTGAGGAGCCATTCCTGCCTTTTGGCAGCTCTGCGCGCCCGTGCATCGAGAAGAGGCTCCTCCTCTTCCTCCTCTTCACTTAAAGGAGCTTCTGGAGGTTCTGAAGGCCCTGGCTGAATCCCCGCCTCTGGCACCACATCTTCTCCAGCCTCCTCATTGTCCGACTCGAGTGCCAGCTGCACAGGCTGCTGGCGCAGCATCATACCAGCCTCCTCGCTGTCGGAATCAGCTACTAGCTGCACAGGCCGCGTACGGGCCACAACAGTAACTTGGATTAATTTCATTATTGAAAACCTGCCATAAACCTTCCCAACTTGATATCTTGACACTTCCCAGAATATAACTGGAGCCACACTTTGAAAATGGTTTTTTTAACTCTCATTTTAAAAAACAAAAAAAAATGGAAACCCAATCTTATAACGAACTTGTGAAAGGACATTTGACGCTTAAATAATAATGATACGCATGAATAATTTACACAGAAACGAATGTAATTTCAGATGCAGGGCTGCATTGATGAAGTTCATATTTCACTTAACTGGATACTTCCAAGGACAATCTTGGTAATATAAAGCAAGAAGACGGCAGGATTTTAAGGAGAGAATGGCTGTCCATTCTCTGAAACGGTATGGGGTCTCCTGCTTGAGCAGGGGGTTGGACTAGAAGACCTCCAAGCTCCCTTCCAACTCTATTTTTGATTGAATTTAAAAGATGATGTACAACATGGGTAAATTCACATTATTTCCAGCTGTTATTTAGATTTCCTTACTTTTTTGTTTTCTCAAAATCTAGCTTTTGCTAACAAAATGGACCGAGATGCCCTACGCACAGTTACGCATGTGCTGGTCACCTCACGGATTGACTACTGCAATGCTCTCTACATGGGGCTGCCCTTGAGGACCACTCGGAGGCTTCAGCTGGTGCAAAATGCAGCCGCGCGGGTTGTGATGGGAGAATCCCGATACTCCCATGTTACACCCCTCCTGCGCGGTTTGCATTGGCTACCGGTTGCCCTCCGGGTGAGATTCAAGGTGCTGGTGTTGACCTATAAAGCCCTACATGGCTTAGGACCAGGATATTTGGCGGACCAACTACAGCCAGCAACGACATCCCATCGCCCGGTTCGCGCCCATAGAGAGGGCCTGCTCAGGGTGCCGTCGGCTAGACAGTGGCGGCTGGCGGCCCCCAGGGGTAGAGCCTTCTCGGTTGGGGCGCCCACCCTCTGGAATCAACTCCCCTTGGAGCTCCGACTAGCGCCTGACCTTCGCACCTTCCGCCGGGAATTAAAAACTTGGCTTTTCAAATCCCTTGACCTGGTCTGATGATGGGGTTTTAATGGGTTCATTTTAAAATTTTTAGATTTTAGTCTTTATTTTTATTGTGGCTTGTGTTTTATTGTTGTGAGCCGCCCTGAGTCCATTGTGAGATAGGGCGGCATATAAGCTGAATAAAATAAAATAAATAAAACAGGATGATGAGGGGACTTCAGAAGTTGTGGGAGCTTCATCCCTGGAAGCTTTCAAGAAGAGACTGGGCTGCCATCTGTCAGAAATGGTGGAGGGTTTCCTGCTTGGGTGGGGGGTGGGGTTGGACTAGATGACATCCAATATTACATTTTACTTTATAATTTTATTTTATATTATTTTATATTTTATTTTATATTTTATATTATATTTTATTTAATTTTTTTACTTTATTTTATTTTTTATATTAATTTTTTTAATTTTTTAATTTTATTATTTTTTATTATTTTATTATTTTATTATTTTATTTTATTTATTATTTTATTTTATTATTTATTTTATTATTTTATTTTATTTTATTTTATTTTATTTTATTATTTTATTTTATTTTATTTTATTTTATTTTATTTTATTTATTTTATTTTATTTATTTTATTTTATTTTATTTTATTTTATTTTATTTTATTTTATTTTATTATTTTATTTTATTTTATTTTATTTTATTATTTTATTTTATTTTATTTTATTTTATTTTATTATTTTATTTTATTTTATTTTATTTTATTTTATTTTATTTTATTTATTTTATTTTATTTTATTTTATTTTATTTTATTTTATACATTTATCTTATCTTATTTTATTTTATTCTACAAGGGATACCTGCTGGACAAAACACAGGTAGTTCTCAACTTCCAGAAATTCGTTTAGTGTCCGTTCCAAGTTACAACAGCACTGAAAAAAGTGACTTATGACCGTTTTCATAACAAGACGGTGGACTAGTTTTCTTTCTGTATCAGATGGTAATTAGTTCTGCCGAGCTATTTTTATCGATAAACCTGTTTAGACCTCGTTAATTCTGAAACGCAAATGGTTTTACAGCCAGATAAAGCCAGTTCACAAAGGAATAATCTCATAGAGCTTGCCCTGTTAAAATACACACTGCATGTCAATTTAAACATGAGAAATGAAGTCTGGAAAAAGCTTTGCCGGTCTTTAAATGAAAGCAATTTTTCAGCTGTGTAAACACAGTCCATTTTCCCTGACTTCCTAATCGCCGTGATGGCGAACCTATGCCACGTGTGCCCAAAGCGGCACACGAAGCCATGTCGCCTGGCACACGCGGACTTGCCTGTTTGTCTTCTGTGTTTCTGGTGTGCATGCATGCGTGAAGATCAGCTGTCTTCTGCGCACATGTCTTCTGGCAGTGCCGAAAAACGGTATGCACATGTGCAACAGCCAGCTGATTGTCGGGTGCGCATCAGTGGTGGGTTTCAAAATTTTTTACTACCGGTTCTGTGGGTGTGGCTTGGTGGGCGTGGCATGAGAAGGTTACTGCAAAATCTCCATTTCCCCCTGGGACTCAGGATGCAGAGAATAGATGGGGCCAGGACCAGTCAGAATTTTTACTACCGGTTCTCCAAACTACTCAAAATTTCCACTACCAGTTCTCCAGAACTGGTCAGAACCTGCTGAAACTAGGGGTGAAATGCTCCCGGTTCCGACCGGATCGCCTGATCCGGTAGCGATGGTGGCGGGTGGTTCGGAGAACCGGTAGCAAAAATCCCTGCGCCCCCCCCCCTCCATGCTCAGCTGAGTTGCACGATCATCAGAGGCTTTTTTTTTTTTTTACTTTTAAAAGCATTTTTTCTACCACCTCTTCCGATGAAAAAATGCTTTTAAAAGTAAAAAAAAAAAAGCCTCTGATGATTTCAGCTGGGATCCTCAGAGGCTTTTCAAAGCATTTTTTTCTGCAACCTCTTGGCCGAAGAGATGGTAAAAAAAATGCTTTGAAAAGTCTCTGACGATCCCAGCTGAGTTGCCTGATCGCCAGAAGCTTTTCAAAGCATTAGAAAAAAATGCTTTGAAAAGTTAAAAAAATAAAAAGTCAGCCCACCCAGTCACGTTACCCCCACCACCACCAAGCCACACACACAGAACCGGTAGTAACATATTTTACATTTCACCCCTGGCTGAAACCCACCTCTGGCGCACATACACGCCAGAAACCGGATGTTCAGCTTTTCTGGAGTGCAATCCCTTCGGAGCGCGGTCCTGACGAGTGCACAAAGTTTCCGCGCGACAAAAAGGTTTGCCGTTACTGTCCTAAGCCATCCCATCTCTTGATGCCTGAAACCTGGTACAGTTAAAAGCCATCGACGAAATAAAAGTGCTTTCAAAACTCTTAATATTAGAATAACATCGGATACTACAGACACAATCACTTTGCGTCGACCATATATGCAGAAAGCTACTGAATATTCTTGCTCATATTAGTATATAGAAACATATATAGACTCTTAACAATAAAGTGCACAGAAAAGCAAGGAAGATGATTAGGCGCCTAAGAGGCTAAAACGTACGACGAAACAATTGCAGGAATTGAGGATGAAGAGAAGGTTTAATGAAAAGAAGGACTAGGGGAGACATGAGAGCAGTCTTCCAATATCTCAGGGGCTGCCCCAAAGAAGAGGGAGTCAAGCTCTTCTCCAAAGCACCTGAGAGTAGGATAAGAAGCGACGGATGGAAACTCATCAAGGAGAGAAGCAACTTAGGAGGAATTTCCTGACCATTAGAACAATTAATCAGTGGAACTACCTAACACCAGAAGTTGTGAATGCTCCAACACTGGAGGTTTTTAAGAAGAGACTGGACAACCATTTGTCTGAAGTGGTGTAGGGTTTCCTGCCTGGGCAGGGGGTTGGACTAGAAGACCTCCGAGGTCCCTTCCAATTCTGTTATGCTATTCCAAATGGCAAAATTGACTATTTTGATGAAAGAAAAGAATACAAGCGCTTTTGTTTCCACATGGAAACCGCTTCTGAACTTTGTGCTTGAAGCGGAAAAGAATGAAACTTTGATTTTGGGTTTTCCCGATTAGATTGACAGATCTTTAGAGAAATGGCTAGTTTATATTATTATGAAAAAGCATAAAGTTGTGATTTGATGTTAATGCCTTATTTTACTGCAGGAGAGAAAATTGGAAGTCAATGCTTCTCTTTCTTTCTTATCCTTCCTTGCTTCTCTTTCCCCCTTTCCCTCCCCACCATTCTCCTATTTACCTTTGTATTTTGTATCTTATTTTATCTTATAACTCAAAAAAAAAAACGTTAAACCAGGAAAGAAAGAAAAAAAGAATACAGGTAGTCCTCAAGTTACAAGTTCGTTTAGTGACCATTCGAAGTTACAATGGCACTGAAAAAGGAGACATAACTATTTTTTTTTTTTTAATTTGATTTGTATACCGCCCTACTCCCGAAGGACTCAGGGCGGTGAACAGCCACAAGATTTTTCACACTTATGACCGTTTTCAGACTCCCCTTGGTCACAATTCAGATGCTTGGCAACTGACTTATGACGGTCGCAGTGTCCCCGGGGGGTGTGTGTGTCACGTGACCCCCTTTTGCGACCTTCTGACAATTCACTTAACAACCTCGTTATTAATTTAGCCACTTCACGCACTTTGCAAGAAAAGTCATAAAACGGGGCAAAACTCACTTAAGAAATGTCTCCGTTAGCAACATAAATTCTGGGCTCAACTGTGGTTGTAAGTCGAGGACTACCTGCATTGCCTGGGTACATCCATATGGCTTCTCTGGCAATAATACAAAATTGGCTTTGCATTCTATTCTTCCAGGATGCGTTCAACATCCTCAACATCTGGATAATTTTCTATCCAAATTTAGAACTTCCTGGCGATTTTGAATCCAAATCCTAAGCAGGTGTGACTCGGCTTAGCTCTTAAGAGATCAAGCGAAGGTTGGTTAAATATTACACCCTAGCTAGACCAAACGGATATGTGGACACAACACACACAGTGTAAACACAAGCATTTGTTGCTTTTGTTGCAATGGAACATTTATTTGCTCTAACCTGAAAGTCACTCCCTGCAGATCAAACCTTGTGTGACATTTTCCTAAGAGCCAACAGCGGCCTGAAGCTTGAAACTAGAAAAGAGGCAAAGACATCTCAAGGGTAGCGTTTCTGGACAAGAGGGAGGGAGGGAGGAAAATAGGGAGGAAAGGAGGGAGGGAGGGAAGGAAGGAAGGAAGGAAGGAAAGAAAAAATGTTAGAAAGGAAAAGATAGAAGGGAGGGAGGGAGGAAGGAAAAGATGGTAGGAAGGAAAAGATAGAAGGAAGGAAAATAGGGAGGAAGGGAGGGAGGGAAGCAGGGAGGGAGGGAAGGAAGGAAAGAAAAAATGGTACGAAGGAAAAGATGGAAGGAAGGGAGGGAGGAAGGAAGGAAGGAAGCAAAGAAGGAAAAGTTGGTAGGAAGGAAAAGGTAGAAGGAAGGAAGGAAAATAGAGAGGGAGGGAGGGAAGGAGGGAAAGAAAAGATGGTAGGAAGGAAAAGGTAGAAGGGAAGAAGGAAAATAGGGAGGGAGGGAAGGAGGGAAGGAAGGAAAGAAAAGATGGTAGGAAGGAAAAGATAGAAGGAAAGGAGGGAGGGAAAGAAGGGAGGGAGGAAGAAAGAAAGAACGAAAGAAAGAACGAAAGAAAGAAAGAAAGAAAGAAAAACAGGAAGGAAGGAAGGAAGGAAGGAAGGAAGGAAGGAAGGAAGGAAGGAAGGAAGGAAAAAGATACAGCCCATCCTTCACAGCCCCTTCTTTGGCTGTTCACACCACTTACTTGACCCATTACAGGTAGTCCTCTCCTTACAACAGTTCATTTAATGACTGCTCAAAGTTACGAGGACACTGAAAACAGTGAGTTAGGATCATTGGTCATTATTTGGGATCAAAATTCGGACACCTGGCAACGGACTCATATTTATGACGGTCCCGGGGTGTGTGTGTGTCACGCAATCCCCCTTTTACGACCTTCTGACACGCAACATCCATGGGGAAAGCCGGATTCACTTAACAACCGGGGTGACTAACTTCACAACGGCGGTGATTTCACTTAACAACTGATGACAAGACAGGTCGCAAAATGGCACAACGTTCACTAAACAACTGTCTCGCTTAGCAACCAGGACAGAAATTTTCAACCCAATTGTGGTCGCAAATCCAGGACTTCCTGTAGTGCAAGAGTTAGGAGCAACGTCCGCAGCGGATTTGCTACGTCTCGATTCCTGTTGGCCCTTTTTAAAAAATTTTGGCCTTGCTTGTTTTGGAACCTGTTTGGTTAGTTTTTAAGTCCACGGGTGGTGCGATAAACAAAGGTTAAATTCAATAATTGTTCAAATGTGTGTGTGCCTGTAGCCACTCAGCAGAAACTACACGCCGTGAGTTCCCGAACAATCACAACACATACGTCGATTTCCCAAGGAAGCATATAGAATTCAGAAGAACAGAGCCGGAAGGGACCTCGGAGGTCTTCTAGTCCAACCCCCAGTTCAAACAGGGAGCCCTTATCCCACTTCAGACAAATCTCTTCTTAAAAACCTCCCCGTGTTGGAGCATTCACAAGTTCTGGTGGCCAGCTGTTCCGCTGGTTCATCGTTCTCACTGACTTTGTTTCCTTTCAAACAAAAGAACTCTGCAAAGTAAAGCTATGGCAACTTCAAAGTAGAGAATTCCTCTACTTATTCCTCTAGGTGCCACCTGAGGAATAAGCCATGCGGAATTGCCCCGGATTGATTCCTAGGCTGGGGGGGGGGCAAGGACCCAAAGGGGGGTCACTTCACAAGGCACCTCCAGGACTCCCTTGGATTATGGCCCTACCGCCCAACTCTCCTCCGGGCAAGGAAGGGCTTGGACCAGACACCTCCTCCTTCTCCTTCTCCCTCTTTCTCTTTCTCCTTCTCCGTTTCTCCATCTCCTGCGTCCTCCCTCTCCTCCTTTTTCCCTTCTTCCTCCTCCTTTCTCTCCTCTCTTTCTCCTTCTCCTCCTTCCCCTTCCCTCCTCCTCCTCCCTCCTTTTTCTCCTCCTCCCTCTTCTTCCTCCTCTCTTTCTCCTTCTCCTCCTTTCCCTTCGCCTCTCCTCCTTCCTCCTCTTCCTCCTTCTCTCTCCTCCTCCTCCTCCTGCCTCCTTCTCCCTCTTCTCCTTCTCCTCTCTCTTTCTCCTTCTCCTTCTTCTCCTCCTCCTCCTCCTCTCTTTCTCCTTCTCCTTCCTCTTCCTCCTCCCTTTTCCTCCTCTATCCTCCACCTCTTCCCTCTTTCTCCTTCCCTCCTTCTCTCTTCCCTTTCTTCTCCTTCCTCCTCCCCTTTCCTCTTCCTCCTTCCCTCCTTCTCCTCCTTCCTCCTCCTCTCTTCCTCCCCTTCCCTCTTTTTTCTCCTTCCCTCTTTCTCCTCCTCCCTTCTTCCTCCTTCTCTCTTCCTCCTCTTCCCTCTTTCTCGTTCCCTCTCTCCTCCTTCCTCCCCCACCCCTCCTCTTTTTTCTCCCTCTCCCTCCTCCTCCTCTCTCTCCCTCTTCCCTCTTTCTCCTTCCCTCTTTTTTCTCCCTCTTCCTCCTCCTCCCTCCTCCCTTCTTCCTCCTTCTCTCTTCCTCCTCCTCTTCCCTCTTTCTCCTTCCCTCTTTTTTCTCCCTCTTCCTCCTTCTCCCAGCAGCGCCGGGCGGGGACGGCGGGGGGCTCGTCGGAGTGGAGCGCCTGGCAGGCCCCGCGTCCTCCCGGCGTCCTCCCGGCCTCCCCTCCGCCCTGCCCGCCGGCGGCCTCACCTCTCCCACCAGCCCCTGCCAGTCGCTCTCGCTGCGGCTGCCGTTCATGGCTCCCGGGCCTCCCTCCGGCCGCGCTTCCTCCGCCTCCTCCGGCCTCCTCCGGCCTCCTGGCAGCCACGCCGGCTCGGCTCGGCACGAGAGGCGGGTCCCTGCGGAAAGCCTCCCCGCCGCCACCCCAGGCCCCGCTAAGCGGCTTTCCGGCTCGGCCGGCGCAAGGACGGGGCCTTCGAGGTCGTCTAGACCGACCCGCGCCATCCTATCCTCCCGGGCTTTTCCCGGCGGTCCTCGGTTTACGACCACACCCCCCAGAGTCCTGCTGTTAAGCGAGACCTGGTCGGGAGTCGGCTTTGCCCCCCTTCTACCACACGTCACTAAGCGAATCCCAAGTCACGCGGTCGCTAAGCGAATCTGCCTTTCCCCCCCCCCCCCCCCCCCATGGACTTGGCTTGTTGGAAAGTTGCAAAAGGGGATCATGTCACACATACACACTAATATATACAGGACATTGCGACCGTCATAAGTGTGAGACAGACGCCAAGCCTCTGAATTTTGCTCATGTCTCACACACACACACACACACACACACACACACACACACACACACACAGGGATGCTGCAATGGACATAAGTGGGAAAAACGATCCCGAGTCCCTCTTTACTTTGTACAGTCATTAAATGAACTGTTGTAAGTCAAGGACTACCTGTGTTTCTTACCACCCCACATTTTGAATGGTCGTTAAGTGGAGGCCTTCCTGTCCGGGGGTGGGGGTGGGGGTGGGGGGGGAATGGAAAGCAAGGTGGGATTGTTATTTGCACAAAATTGGAAAAGTGATGAGATGATGAGAAGGTGATTAGGAAAATATTAGAATGTGCAGAAATGAACAGATTTAACATCTTGCAATTAAGGAGAAAGAACAAACGGAATATTATATGATGCGGGAATTATCAATGGTTAGAGAATAAAAAAAAATGGAAGTTGGAAATAAAAGATTAAAGAAGAGTAGAAAATATGTTAGGATAGAAATGTAAACAATATGATTGTTATGACTACAAGGATTATTATACTTAATATTACAATAAAAATAGAATAGAATAGAATAGAATAGAATAGAATAGAATAGAATAGAATAGAATAGAATAGAATAGAATAGAATAGAATAGAATAGAATAGAATAGAATAGAATAGAATAGAATTCTTTATTGGCCAGGTGTGATTGGACACACAAGGAAATTGTCTTTGGTGCATACGCTCTCAGCGTATATAAAAAGACAAAATACATTCTTATATTCTTATTAGAAGATATGTTAAGAGGGAAAAATGAATAAGTTTGCTAGGTTAAATTGCTCATTATACTACAATTGGAAAATCAGAGATTTAATATCAATGTAATGAATGCCGTTGTAAATCTTGATGGTTATTGCACACAGGTATTTGTATCCAGACGACACACTGTTTAAGGGAAGACGGAATGTTTATATTAAAAAAATAAAAATTCCTATTCTAAAAAAAAAGAGAGAAGCATTTTGCAAGAAAAACCTCGCCCTGAGCAGTGGGAGAAGACCTTACTTTCTCTTTCCATCCCTTTATCAAACTTTTTTTTTCTCTCTTTTTTTTAAATCAAGTGGAATTTCAGAAACATAGAATAAAAAAACTCCGGCAGCGCAAATGGATCACAGGAGACCTTTAAAAGTTGGCCACGCAGAGAGGTCACTCCAAAGGAGAACATGGAAAACGATGTCTTTCATCGCCAACTTTACATCCCAAACTTCCAAACAGCAGGAAGCCAATTTCGACATGCTAAGCCACCTTCTGTTTTAAACCTTCAATCTGGGGTTTGTTAAGCTTTACGCTTGCGATTTGCTCAAAATAAGACACAAACTGCAAGCAAACTCCCTTGAGGGGGTCTCGTCTGGTGGTTTTTACAACTGGATGTTTCTCAAGGTCGATCCCATCCAGATGTTTCGTTTCGAATCCCCAGTTATATTTGCTGAATGTAGTTCTAATCCTCCTTAAGGTGTATCCATCCATCACTGGACATAAGCATTAGAGGTGGACCAAAGGGGCTTTTTTTTCCAGGGGCAACTGGGCTTTCTTGATTTTCCTTTGAAGACGTTTTGCTCCTCATCCAAGAAGCTTCTTCAGCTCTGACTTAATGGTGGGGAATGGAAGGATTGATACTCCTTGCAGACAGCTGGTCATTTGCATTATTTTTAGAGTCGTTGAGACCGCTTGGAGGTTTGATTCAGAATCCAAGTGGCCTCAATGACCCTCTAAAGGTAATGGTAAAGGTTTCCCTCGCACATATGTGCAGTCGTTCCTGACTCTAGGGGCAGTGTTCATCTCTGTTTCAAAGCCAAAGAGCCAGCGCTGTCCGAAGACGTCTCCGTGATCATGTGGCCAGCATGAATCAATGCCAAAGGCGCACGGAACGCAGTTACCTTCCCACCAAAGGTGGTCCCTATTTTTCTACTTGCATGTTTTACCTGCTTTTGAAATGCTAGGTTGTCAGAAGCTGGGACAAGGAACAGGAGCTCACACCGTTACGCGGCACTCGAACCGCTGAACTGCCAACCTTTCAATCGATAAGCTCAGAGTCTTAGCCATTGAGCCACTGCGTCCCTCAATGATCCTCTAAAAGAATGCAAATCAGTAGCTGTCTGCAAGGGGTATAAATCCTTCCATTCCCCACCCTCCAGTAGGAGCTGAAGAAGCTTCTTGGATGAGAAGTGAAATGTCTTCAAGGAAAAACCAGAAAGCAAAATGTTTTCAAAAAAAACCCAGAAAATAAACTTTATATTTTACTTTGCATTTTAAACATAGTTACTTTATATTTTACCTTGTATATTAAACAGTTACTTTATATTATAGTATAAAAATAAACGTTATATTTTACTTCGCATTTTAAACATACCTTATATTATGTATTTTACTTTATATTATAAAGTAACTGAAATGCAAAGTAAAATATATATTTTACTTCGCATTTTAAACATAGTTACTTTATATTATATATTTTACTTTATATTATAAAGTAACAAATGCAAAGTAAAATATAAAGTATGTTTAAAATGCAAAGTAAAATATAAAGTATGTTTAAAATGCAAAGTAAAATATAAAGTATGTTTAATAGGATTACAGCTTTGGTCATTTTTGGTACGATCACGAAGGGGATCATCTCCCAGTGCATAGGCATCTCCAGCCTTACGGGCTCTGTAATGTGGGTGACAGGGGCTCCCCCCAGCAGGGATCCGTCCACCTACTCGAACCGCAGTGGCTTGGCCAAGCGCCGTGTCCTACCTCCAGCTGATTGACTGCCGACAAGCTAATCAGACACCGGATGCACCCAGAGTTAACCAATGCCTCGAACACTCCACAAACCAGCTTTCCAGGGGCTGTGAGACACACTGGAATCACAAAAGGCCGGATGGGGGCACTCACCATCGGATTTTGGTCCCCCTCATCGTCGCCGTCATCTGGGACCTGCGGAGGCTCCGCTTTGGCGAGCGTCTCTCCGTCGTCTGGTCGGGTTGGCAGAGCCCCACCCATCTGGTGGGCTGCCCTGGACTTAACGGGAATCTTCCTGGAGTTCATCACAGTTTTCCCTGGTCCGGAGTCTTTGCTCTTCTCCTTCGGCATGGGGGCCGGGCACTCAGCTGCCCAATGGCCGGGCTGACTGCATTTAAAGCACAACATAGGCCGGCAAGGATGCCAATCTGGGGCTCCAACTGGGGTCTCCCCCACGGGTGGGGCTGTGCGTTTGACGGTCAACTGCCGCTTATGGAACCTACGTGGCCTAGGTCCCAGGTCCCTCTTGGGGCGGAACTCTTTCAACTGGACATCTATCTCTCTGGTCGCCCGGTACCACTCATTTAGCTGAGGGGGCAGGCCACGGTATTCACAGACCTGCCGTAGGCCTCGATTAAGCCCTGCTTTGAATCGATGAACCAGAAACTGTTCTGGCCAGTGCCGTAATTTGTCGGCAAGCCGGCGGAACTCCTGTATATAGTCCAGCACCTGGCGAGGCCCCTGCTTTAATGCCATCAGCTCCCCTTCAGCCCTCTGGGTCCGGGTCACGTCCTCGAAACGGCATTGTAAAGCATCCAGTAGCAGGTTGACATCTCCCAACTCCCGAGCATTGTCACTGTACAGATCCGCTACCCAGTCTGCCGCTTCCCCGTCCAGGGCCACTGTCACTGCATGCACCATGGCCCGCTGGCTGCGATACAGGTGTGCATAGCAGTTCATGTGAATAATGACCTGGTGTACAAATAGAGCCAATCTGGCAGGGTCCCCGTCATATGTGGTCCTCAGGTGTGGTGGGTCCCTGGCCCATGGCTGTGGCTGCCAATAGCCTAGAGAGGCTCCTTGTCCTGAGGAGGCTACACCAGACAGCCGATAGTCAGGGCCGCCTCCTAGTAGTTGGGCCCCAGTCCCAGCAACGGTTGTGGAATTTTCCCCCGACTCTCCAGCAGCCTGCACTGCCAGAACTTCCAATGCAGGCCTCTCCGTCGGTCCCATGTCAGTCTCCTTCACCAGTTCTTTGGCCATCCCACTTTTTGGCACCGATGTGCAGCTGCCTCCGGAAGCAGCAAGCCACCCCGACAAACAGCTGATTCTCAACAAACTGACCAACAGCTGACTCCGCAAAACCAACCAGAATCAACACACAGCGGCCAACGATCATCTGCTCCCTACAAGCAGGCCGGAAGCAGCTAAGTAGCTCAAAAGGCAGAAGAAAGAGGGTGAGGAATGCTGGCTACCTCTTATGGTTCCAAACCAAGCCAGCAAAAGAAGAGGCCACACTGTGAGTAGAACAGTGGGTCTCTTTACTGGAATCTTACTTCATCTTACGGTGAACAATGGAGTAAAAGGGTTCCTAGCCAGCATTACTGGCTTCTGCTAGCCAGCTGGCTTTATGGACTCAGCACGCTCCACCCTCCTGTTCCTGGTTGCTCCCGGCTGGCTCCTGCAAGTACTCTTGCTGCAGCCCGGTTGCTCCCTGGCCAGCTCCAGCAAGTACTTTTTTGGCCCGGCACCAGCAAACACTCTTCGGGCTCCGTTGCTCTCTGGCTGACTCCAGCAAGTAGTCTTCAAGCCATCATGGCTTCTGAACTGACCATAGCTGGCTTGCCTCCCTGACTTCTCTCCCAGCGTGAGTCC